GGATATTGGTGTAACTATGAGAGATTGGTGTAACTATGGGATATTGGTGTAACTATGGGATATTGGTGTAACTATGGGATATTGGTGTAACTATGAGAGATTGGTGTAACTATGAGAGATTGGTGTAACTATGGGATATTGGTGTAACTATGGGATATTGGTGTAACTATGAGAGATTGGTGTAACTATGAGAGATTGGTGTAACTATGGGATATTGGTGTAACTATGGGAGATTGGTGTAACTATGAGAGATTGGTGTAACTATGGGAGATTGGTGTAACTATGGGAGATTGGTGTAACTATGGGATATTGGTGTAACTATGAGAGATTGGTGTAACTATGGGATATTGGTGTAACTATGGGATATTGGTGTAACTATGAGAGATTAGTGTAACTATGAGAGATTGGTGTAACTATGAGAGATTGGTGTAACTATGGGATATTGGTGTAACTATGGGAAATTGGTGTAACTATGGGATATTGGTGTAACTATGAGAGATTAGTGTAACTATGAGAGATTGGTGTAACTATGAGAGATTTGTGTAGCTATGGGATATTGGTGTAACTATGGGATATTGGTGTAACTATGAGAGATTGGTGTAACTATGGGAGATTGGTGTAACTATGGGATATTGTTGAAGTTAAGAGAGATTATTGTAGCTAGGTGAGATTGGTGTAACTATGGGAGATTGGTGTAACTATGGGATATTGTTGAAGTTAAGAGAGATTGTTGTAGCTAGGTGAGATTGGTGCAACTATGTGAGCTTGTTGCAACTATGGCATATTGTTGTATTAAGAGAAATTGTTGTAGCTAGGTGAGATTGGTGCAACTATGGGATATTGTTAAAGTTAAGAGAGATTATTGTAGCTAGGTGAGATTGGTGTAACTATGGGATATTATTGTATTAATAGAGATTGTTGTAGGTAGGTGAGATTGGTGCGACTATTGGATATTGTTGTATTAAGAGAGAGTGTTGTAGTTAAGAGAGATTGTTGCAGCTAGGTGAGATTGGTGTATGCTAACTGGGTAAAATTTTGCAGCTGGGGATGTTAGTATTGTGGCCTATAATCATCTAGTCCTGTATTTGGCAATGGCAAGGTTTCTCTTTATAAGGATTGAGTTCTCTCATCCTCCTGTTAATTCCCTCGCTAAAGTGGAACACAAATGTAGAACTCACATAAATATTTGCATATCACCATTTACAATTTTAAAAAATAAATTATTTTTTTATTTTATTTTGGACATAAGGGAGATAATGTAATGACACTCGCATTAACTCCAGTACAGGTATCTAATTATTCATACCTAGGTCGGCCTGACGCCCACAAACTGCAGAAACTCCATTCATGTTATCAATGCAGGCACTGCCCTCGAAATGATGTATCCAAGGACGTACTCCAACGTTTCCAGAAAACTCTGCTTGACAATGAGTTCCACCAAGATTGTGAGGACAACTCTGACGTTATTTCTTCAGGTTCTGTTTGAAGGAGTGATAACATGGGGAAAGGTAAACAAAATTTTGAGTTGTTTAACAAGTCAGAAGTTTAAAATAGAATGCCTGCATCAAAACTAGTGTAAAGCTCATTCAGTTTAATTATTTTTTTAAAAAATGTATTGTATGTGGAAAATAGACAAAAATATCGTGTTAAAACTATTTAGTTCAATCTAATCAAATTAATTACTCTAATACTCACAAGGACCAGAATTATGATGAATGAGAGTCTTGAACGAGTCCATAAAATGTCTTTTTTATCCTCCTAGGTGGTCTCTATGTTCACAGTGGCAGGCTTGTTTGCTGAAGAATGTGCCAGCCAAGGCCATGCAGACTTTGTTCATGAGGTCGTTGAAGTTGTCGTAGACTTTACTGGAAGCCACCTGTTGCCTTGGCTTGTCCAGCAAGGCGGTTGGGTAAGACATACCACCGATTATTAAAGTGCATTTCATGGCTTTGGTGTGGGTTAAATGAAAACTAGACATTATAATTCTCAAAGATTGAGACCTTATAATTCTTAAAGATCTAGACCTTATAATTCTCAAAGATCTAGACCTTATAATTCTCAAAGATATTGAACTTATAATTCTTAAAGATCTAGACCTCATAATTCTCAAAGATCTAGACCTCATAATTCTCAAAAATCTGGACCTCATGAGTCTCAAAGATCTAGACCTTATATTTCTCAAAGATCGAGACCTTATAATTCTCCAACATAAGATTCAAATAAATATCGGTTTTAAAGAATCTACTCATTAATTGTAAAAATAATTGGTAAATAAATGTTATAGATGTCACTGGCCCTCCCTTATTTCAGTGCTGTTGAGCAAATATGGGTTTACCTCTGATTTATTTATTTGATTACTTTGACATTAGAAATAGATCATGAGCAACCTAGTGTACCTGGGTTCTTGTCAAGACATTAAAAGTAGGTCATGAGTGACCTGGTGTACCTGGGTACTTGTCAAGACATAAAGTGACCTGGTGTACCCCCGGGTTCTTGTCATGACATTAGAAGTAGATCATGTGTGACCTGGTGTACCTGTCATGACATTAGAAGTACATCATGAGTGTTCTGGTGTACCTGTCATTTGATCTCAGAACAACTTAAGATAGTTTAAACTACTAGTTTTAACTCATCATTAATGACATGTGTAAATGATTTTATCGAAATGAATAAAAGCATAGAATTTTAAAGGAGACGCAATTCTTCATTTTGACAATGCAAGATTGGTTGAAAGATTCTCTCTCTCGTTAACTCGTGGTGTTCTAGAAATTTTTTAGAGAGGAAATTAAAATTGTTTCTTTTTTTAAAAATATATTTTGATTTTAAATTTATTATTTTACAATTTTTTTCCAAGGATGCTTTCCCGACCGCAGGTAGCAGCCAAAAGAATCGTTTGAGTAAATTGAGGCTTTTGATGGTAGCAGGTGGCGCCACAGCAGTTGCAGTCTCCAGCTCCGCCTTTTTGGACCTGTGGTGAAAACACTAAATCAAGATCACATTTATTTTTCCCCATTACGATGGAATGAAAAAGAGTCATGAGTGGTCACTTAAACAAGCTCTACTGTGATCAAGACTCCTCTGGCACAGAACTGTACTCCAAAAAAAGATGGTTGAAAGTTACTTCAGCTTTTAATGTAACTCTCATCGACATGCTCGAATCACAAGCCTAATGATTTCTTTAGTGCCTTATATTGTGATGACCATAGCTGGGAGCATTACCAAAAAAACAAAATCAACCCATTATTCTGAATCAGATGTAACAGTTTGAAATGAAAAAGAATAGCAAAACTGTTTGCCTGGCTACAGTTTTTATTTTGTTTTTTTAAATTTATAAATTTCAGCCTTCCATAACCAAGACTTGTTTCCAGAGCTGAATCTAAGCGCCAACATTTCAAACGCATTTTTCAAATGCAATTAGGTTCTTGATTTGAATAAAATGGTTTAACAATTATTGTGGTGAAAGGGAGTGAGTGTTGAGAGGAACCTACTTCTTCTATATTTTGAGGTCCCCACAATTAATGTATTGATCATTCTGGCTCCTGTGATTTTACTTTGATCTAAATTTAACGAACTCTGAATAGATACAACCCTAATTTGATATTCCTTCAAAATCAAAACATGAAAATTTACTTATTTGAATACAACATGAGCTATTTTAACTTGTACAGTATTTATTAAATTAAAAACAAAATAAAGCCTTCTGGAATTACAAATAAAAATGAAAAGAGAAATTTTCTCTATCCCCTTGTTTCTATTGGAAGTATGTATTTAGTAAACATGTGTTGTCTCCAATTTCAAATGGCATATCAGAGAAGTTTTAATGTTCTTGGTACCGGTAGGCACCTCGGTGATTAGAGCACTTGGTTGTGTCTTGCCTGATTTTAATGAAGACTTACCGAAGACCCTAGAAGAAACTTGTATCTTTCATATTACATTTGGCAACATTCTTTTTTTTTTTTGTGTTTGCCCTGTCTTTCAAGCTTCAGTGTTATTCAACTATGTTAGTTAATGCTATTCAAATGTGAGTACGCTCTCTAACTGTAAATATGCATTTTTTTTTATTTTAACATAAATAATTACAAATGGTATCAAGTATATATTTTTGTTACAATAGCATTGGCCAGATTTTTCTAATACTTCAATCAATCCTAACCAGGTGTGAATGTCTTGGTGGAGATTTAGTTGTTTTTTTGTCACTCTGTCAAATCTTTTTTTATATTAAAATGTAAGCCACTGCACAAAATGATATGAGCATAATTGATTAGGTAATATTATTATGTCTAAAGATTTCAGTGCACAAAAACTAGATGAAATCTTTATATCCAAAATTCAAACATGTCAACCAAAAATCTTAATTTCAATGTGTGAATGTTGAAAATATAGAATGTTTAGATATAAATTTGTGCACATTTTTGTTTCTTTTGCTTTAAAAGATTGCATCCCAAGATTTTCTTTACAAAATGATGATCATAGCAATTAGTTCTAGCAGCCTGCAACCAAATCTAGATTTATTAATGATGTATATTGATTTTTTCATTTTAAAAAATACCTTTATTAATACTCTTGACGTTGTTCTTACATTATTTTATACAGAATTATTTTAGACCAATCATTTCTTTATTCTAACATTTAAATTTGTGTGGGTTTTAAATTTTATTAGAGTGGCTCAAAGTTGGCTGAGGGACCATTACAAATTATGGCCAAAGAATTATTTTTCTATACCGGTTCTTAGTATTTTAAAAATACTACTCTTGAACGTTCTTCTTACATTATTTTCTACAGAATTATTTTAGACCAATCATTTCTTTATTCTAAAATTTAAATTTGTGTGGGTTTTTAATTTTATTAGAGTGGCTCAAAGTTGGCTGAGGGACCATTACAAATTATGGCAAAAGAGTTAGTTTTCTATACGTGTGTCTTAGTATTTTAAAAATACTAGCCGTCTTTCATCGCTTGCAAGCATTTTTTTCTCTCCAAATGAAATTTTGTTAAACTTTTTATTATGATTATTAATTTAATACTTTAATATCCATGAATTCACAATGTCCATGCAAAGGACATATATATGTAAACAATATACATTCCTAAATAAATTTGTTATAAACTCACCTTTGAAGATTTGATGTTTATTGAGTGAACATTATAATTTGCATGCAATCACCAAAACAGCTTCACTCACACTTATTTATTATTCTTAAATAAAAAACAAATTTTGATTTTATTATGTAAACATTAAAAAAATATTATACAATTGAAATTAAAGTAAGTTTTTAGTTGAGATGTTATCATCGTACTCTAAGCTGGGAGACTGTCCCTTCTGTGAAATACTTTATAGCGTGACTTGATGTAAGGACTTTTTTTTAAAGATTAAACAGAAATATATTTTACACACTGAGATGTATCATGGATATCAACAATTCTCTGAATTAAAACATGAAATATGTACTGAACTTCGAAGAAAAATAATATTTTAAAATATAACTTTGCAATTTGTGTGTATGTAGAGAGGTAGTCACTGTATCACAAATTTTTAAAAAATGGTTGTCACACATTTAATTCTTTGCTTAAAGCTCATACCCGAGTAAGCCTATGTCAGTGGTATGAGTTTATTAAAAAAAGTGTTATATTATATTAATAATATTCTAGTGGTGCGTTATGTGGTCTTATATGGCTAAAAAAACAAATCAATAACAAAATCTACAACTTCATCCACTCATACAAATGTATATCATATCTTACATAGCAAAAATTATTTCTGAAATGTGAAAATTCTAACTTGATCAAGTTGTCCTTTTTTTCCACTTTATGGTCTAATTATTCCCTGAGATGCCACAATGACAAGATTTGAACTGGAAAGGATGTTTTTAAATTCAAGGAAATCACATAAATTAAAAATATTAAAAACTCTGGCAGTGCTAATTTTTACATTGAAATGATGGAATATCAACTAAATCCTCTAAGTCTAGGGTGACTGAATTGTTTGGTGGTTTAAAAAAAATCATAATTATGTTTAAGCAGTGAAACCTTATCTATCTGATTATATAATTCTACTGGATGCGTGTTTCTGAAACATTTTTAATTACAAGATGATGACAAAAAAGGAATTGCCAAGTTCTTTCTTTTGAGCAATTATAAAATTATTAATAAAAAAAAAAAATGAAGGTTATAAATATAATTAAATGAAGTCTCATTCTTTATATGTCAAAATGTATCTTTAATTCTGGATTTTTTAATTTTAATTTGAGGGAAAAAATATTTATTAATCAGGTATAAATGTTCTTCCTTTTACCATAAATAAACCCATCTGAAGGAATAGATAGGCAGCCTTATCTTTACTGATACTTATTAATTATTGAATTCATGGAAAAAAGATTTCTGTTATTAATTTGCCAGTATTAATATGATGTACTATCCTCAACAGCTTGTGATAGTTTATGAGTTAATTTGAATACCTTTAGCTAAATTGCTGCTGATAATAACTGAGTGTTGCAGGAACTTTATTAATTGCAATGTATTATAAAAACATGAAAAAAAAAAATGTTGTTGAGTAAAGCCCCTCAAAATGCATATTTTCAGAAATAGTATTACCACACAACTTCATTGTAAGTTTTTTCTAATTATGATATGGATTATGTTCATTACAGGATGAATTGATGTCTCACATACAGTGAACACTTTAAACCGTTGCTAGACACATCACTTTCTTTTAAAAAGAAAACAAACACTTTTACACTTTTGCCATCAACAGGTGAGATCTATCTCATGGTGACTAGCTCTTCTGATGACGTCGGGTGAATGGCCACACACTCGTCAAACTGAGCCTTGGTGGCGCCCATCTTTATGGCCACACCGAATCCCTGCAACATTTCATCGCAGCCCTGACCCACTATGTGGAGACCTACGACCTGTGGTCACATGATGAAATTTAAAATAAATTCATTTCCCATATTTAAAAAATTATTTGCGTTTTCAGGGAAATCTCATCGTAACACAAAAGAAAATAAAGATAAGAAAAAAGTTTTACAAAACGTCTGTCTAAAACTCATTTAGTACAAGCAAAAATTAAAATTGACCAACTCAATGTAGTATACATTATTTCAGCCAACAAAAATAATGTCAAAAGTCAAAGCTTCGGTGAGCAGGCTTTTTAAGTTAAAATCTGAATCTAAAGCAACATTTTGTCTTTAGTTTTTCCCAAGGAAACTGTAATCTTAAAGCAACATTCTGTCTTTAGTTTTCCCAAGGAAACTGTAATTTTTAAAAAAAATCTATCAAGTTGTTCTACATGAGCTTAAAAAAATTAGAAACTATTCCAACCTTTTCATCTGGAAGAACACATATAAGTTTCATGTTGCACCTCACTTTCTTTTCAAGAACAGCGTAGTACATGGGCACAAAATTGGAGGTGTAGATTTTCAATTTCTCTCTCCCATACTTGCTCTCAGCCTCAGCTATGGAATTCAACAGTCAACTTCAACTCCTCTAATGATAAACACTGATATCGCTACGATTATTAGAAAGTTATAATAGAAAATCCTTCACCACGAATTTATGTTACAGCTCAAATAAAAATAATTAAATGTAGGTTTGCAGTTAAAATTTTCATGGCTTTAATGTTAAGACTCATGTATTTTTTAACAATTCTTTGAAAATTTGTATAGCCAACATTTTAGAAAGCATCTCACCAAAAATGGTTTTATTTGCAGGAGAAGCTTTGATATTACTTTAGCAATTGTGGGCAAAGTTTTAATAAATATTCAAGTCAAGACTTGTCTAAGAATTTTTGGCATTAAACCCCCACCCCATCAACCACTCTTTTAGGTGTTTTTAGATACTTGATACTAATAGTAAACTTATGTGCTGCATCAAAAGATTTTATAAACTGGAATCATTAAGGGAATCAAAAGTTTAACCCAACAAACCTTCAGTTAAACCTATAGTCCCAACAGGAGGGTGAGAAAAGACAACTGTGGGAATGTTGGTGTAGTCTAATCTTAGGTCCGTCTGCCCATCAAACAGTCTATGAGCCAGTCTTCTCCCAGCGGCAATGGCAACTAGTGGAAAAAATACATTGTACCAAGTTTGAATGTGCACAAATAAAACTTTTTACAACTTGATGCAGTAAAACTCTTTAAACAGGGTTGGTCAATCACATAGACATAAATCAAGGATAAATTACAGCATTCTGCCTATATAATCTGAAAATTTTTTACATAGTACACCAACTTGCTTCAACTAAATAACAATTTTATTTAGGTTTTATCACCAAAAACATCTACACTGTAACTAACACATTTTCCCCCCATGAACACTTCAAGCTCTATGATTTTCATACCTGGAGTCAGTAAGGCTTTCCCACAAACATCTCCTAAAGCATAAATCCCTTTCACACTTGTATTCTGAAACTCGTCTACCTCTATATTGTTGTGTTTGTCCACATTGACCCCCTGCGGAGAAATTCATAGTTTATTGACTCATTTACTAACTGACCCCATAAACTATTCCAATGTGGCCTACAGGTCACCGACGGCAACCAAGGTAAGTTAAGAAATTAAAAAATTGTAAATAATAGTTAACACTTCCATATGCAATCTACAAGTTTTTGTTTTAAAACCAGAATGAGATTTTCCTACTGAGACAGCATTATGAATAGTGGGAAAATATTCATAGTAGTTACCTTAGCTTTTTGTAATGGCATACTAAAAGTATTGAAGAGCATAATTATTTGTCTTTATCTAAATTTAAACAGTGTTCGCAGCATGCACTACCCACGCATAACAGCTTGATTCCAATCATTATCAAATAAAATGGAAATTTTAATTATTTATTTTTTTGAAAAAGATTTCAGCCAATTTAAATACATTTTAAAAGATTAAAACGTTCCTTATTTAAATAGAGCGTTAAATCAAAATGAAATAAGGTTAATTTAATATATTTTTTTAAATTAAGAAGATCACAGCTTTGATTTCTATTCCCACCATCAATAAAAGAAACCAAACCATAGTTATCTCAGTTTACGCATTCTTCCAATCCCATAGTAAAAAAGTTATACAAGACATGATTTTTGCTATAGTTCACTTGCTACAAGATTCCAATCAAGGCCATCCAATCATCATTTGGTAAGGTTAAATAGAATTTTAACATCCTCACGAGAATGAAATTAGTACTTACAGCACTATCAAGACCAAGGTTGTCTGAGTTTGGTAAACGACCAATGGCCCACAAGAGGCAGTCCACATTACTAATTTTTTCATTGTTGGTCTGTATAGTCAGTGTCCCATCACCCTCTTTGGTTACTTCAGATACCTACGGTAATGATAAGATGCAAAGAAGTTGGGGGGGGGGGGGGGGGGGGGGGGTTATCAATACAGGACGTCTGCACAAAATATGCATTTGGTTGTTTATAAATTAAAATAATTTTCTCAGTTTGATTAAATTATGATTACATTAAATTTCTCATTAAATTATTGTGTCCTGCCTGCATTAAATACATATTTGCGTGAGTCTCCCATAAAACACAGTCACTCACCACAGATTGCTTGATGACCTTGACACCACCAGACTCCAAGTTATCTGTCACATTCTTACTAATCATGCTGTCGAATGTACGTAGAACCTAAAGTTTTCATAGAATACAATAAAAAGTTAATTGCAGAGTGAAGTTTTATCAGCTAGGATTCTCTTTTTAAATATGTGAAGAGCTTTGTTAACTAGATGATTTAATCAGGGATGTTCAGTAATAAATAGCCTTGCTTCAAGTCTGACTTGGGCGTCAGAGTCTAACAACGGTCTGTGATGTTTCAGTCTCTTGCTTCTTCGTCAAATTTAAAATTAATGAAAACAGATCAGTATGCCGAGTCAATAAATAATGTGTGATGTCCATAACTCCAAGAGACACATCTGATTCTAGGAGAAAGCACCCAATATCTCAACTTTTGCAGTTTTGGGTATAAATTAATTTGCTCAAATCATACCAGAGTTCAAATGTGTGTAAAAGTATATTTTTTGTATAATGACCTGGTCAAATCGTATAAGAATAGAAGTATCTACACCCAGTGCTCCAAATATTCCAGCCAATTCCACAGCGATATAACCTGCACCTACTACTACAACTTTCCTGAAACAAAGCAAAACTCAGAATTAACATTAGCAACTGACAACTGACAGAGAACTACAGCCATGGCTTTACAAAACTTTAAATTTTACTAATTCTTTAAAAACTTTTGTTTTACTTGATCTGAGCAGTGTCTTTTCGTTAAATAGTTGATCATCTCCGATATTTCATGACCAAAATCTAATTTTGCTTGTTGTTTATACTAAATATAAAAACAAAGTTTGGAAAAATCAGATACATATATGATATTGAAATATTTTTCAAATTTCTCACTCCATTTGCATAACCATCAAGATGTACATTTAATTGTGCTTATGGAGAGTTCAATCCCCATCACGGACAGCACAATTTTTTTTTTAAATTTTTTCTCACCTAGTAGTAGCATTAAACTTAGATTTTCCAATTTTAAAAATAATGCTAGTGTGGGAATAAACATTTTGTTTTTTACACACAAAAAAATATCCCACGTTAACTTTAGAACTCTCAAATAACACTTTTTGAGTCTAAAGGGAAGCAATCCAATGCTAAGGGGACTAATTGTCATTGACAAACTTTGTCACAGAAGTGGCCACCTCTTTAATACTATATTAATGTTACTTAATTCTGATCCCCGAGAAAAAACAAACAGACTGAAAAAGGTCTAAAAATTAATTAATTTTTATATTTAAAAATTTTAATTAACAAACATTTATGAAATCATGGAAATAAATTTAGTTTTGCATTTGTGAAAACTTAGACAAAAGCTAGCATCCCTTCATGCTCTAGATCAGCGGTTCTCAACCTGTGGGTCATGACGCCTTCAGGGGTTGAAGGACCCTTTCTCAAGGGTCACCTAAGATCATCGGAAAACACATATTCTCTATAGTTATGAAGTAACGATGAAAATAATTTTGTGGTTGGGGGTCATCACCACATGAGGAACTGTATTAAAGGGACGCAGCAATAGGAAAGTTGAGAACCACTGCTCTAGATGTTGGGCAAAAATTATAAAATGAAATCATTTTTAAAAGACGATAAATAATCTTTTAAGATTAAAGATTATGACCAAAGGATTATATCAAATAATTAAACTGAAAAGGGCACTCACTTAGGCAAATCTTCCAGTTCAAAAAACCCATCACTAGTTATTCCATACTCAGCACCTGAGACAGTATTCAGCAAAAGGTAAATTACATATGAAAAGTGAAATACACTATGAGATATTCAATTTGCTACACATTTTTCATGAAGTAAGACAATAAATATGTAATAGGTACTTGTTTGAAGCCTTAAATACCAAAATCTTCCAAAATATTTGTATTATTGTTATGCAGGACGCCAAATTTAAAAAAAATCTTTATTATGTTCAATGGGAGAACATCTGCCATTGTTACTGATAAGGGAATGTTGTGTCTGCGATTAATGCCATCTTAAATTATAAATAATAAATTACCCATACATTTTACAGCTTTTATTTTAGGTGCATACTTTTAATATTGGAAAAATATATCTTTCGATTGCATTTATTTCTAATATGCTATTGTTTTCATTCAAAAGAACTAAGAAAAATTGTGTGTATACGTGATGTTCTCATAATTTTTAAAATAATTTATGTTAGTCACAGTATAACTGCAGAGCATTACTAAATAATTTCATTGAGGGTTTGAAGTACCAATGTCTTTCTCACTGCATGATCATGTTTTTAAATCTAATACTGCTTCATTCCTGCCTTGTCTATGATTTATAACTTCACACATCTACATGTCTCAAAGTTAAAGTGGATAGTAAATAACCTATATGCCATATGAATAAACTTCTATGCCAATGGATCTCAAAGTGTGGGGGGAGGCGATAATGGGGGAGATGGATGCTCAGTAGATTTAGGGGTGCTTGGGCTACCTAAGGGGGTGCAGGTGGATTATATTAGATAATGCCTTTTAAAAAAAAATATGTATATTAAATGTGAAAAATATATATGAATAATTATTGGATTATTATTATCTGCCTTGGAGAGAGTTATTAGAAACATACACATTGACACTCGAGGAACGATAACAGGATACTTTCTGAGGGAAACTCAAGACCCACAACCAACGGGCACACTCTACAACCAAGCACTTCAGTATCTTGCATATGCTGATGACATAGCCCTTCTAGGGAAAAGTATTAAAGACATATCAAAATCCTTTATTGAATTAGAAGACGCATCTCTACAAGCAAGGCTGGAAGTTAACAACCAAAAAACAAAATACATGACCATGATAAGAGAGGAACAAACAGATGAAACAATTAAAATTAGAAACCAAACTTTTGAAAAAGTAAATCAATTCAAATACCTAGGATCCTTGTTAAATGAAAGAAACGAATTATTAACAGAAATAAAAGAAAGAATATCAGCCGGAAACAGGGCATACTTCAGTGCAGAAAATACTCAAAAGTAAAAACATTACAAGAGAAACAAAGAAAACTATTTATAAAACAGTTATCAGACCAGTTGTAACATATGCAAGTGAAACTTGGACCCTAACAAGAACAACAGAAAACCTATTAAACACATGGGAGAGGGAAGTTCTCAGGAAAATATATGGGCCAACAAAGGATGAATATGGATGGACCAACCAGGAGTTATACAGTCTATATGAGGATCCCACGATAGTGGCAGAAATAAAAAGAGGCAGGCTACGCTGGGCGGGACACCTAGAGAGAATGCCAAATGACAGAGGAACGAAGAGGGTGCATCACCAATACCCCAGAGGAAAAAGGCTCAAAGACAGATCTAGGCTTAGGTGGATAGATGATGTAGAAAAAGATCTACAGCAGCTGAAAGTCCAACCATGGAAAAGAAAGGCATTAGTTAGGTCTAAGTGGAAGGAAATGATGAGGCAGGCCAAAGCCCTACATGAGCTGTAATGCCACAGGGATGGATGGATGATTATCTGCCTTGAAAAATTTCAAGGGTCATGAATAGAATAGTGAATGCACTGAAAATTTACTCTGGTGATACCGTACCATAATAAAGTATTGATTGATTGTTATCAATTTCATATTTACAAACTAGAATAGATTTAGTTTAAAATGTATAGAAGGCAATACATTGCCTGAGATGGTCATCATGAAGCTGACAGGTAAAATTAATCTAACTAGAATTATTTCATTTTATGTCTCTATTTTAAACTATAGCAGTCTCTGTTCAGAAGTCAAATAATTGTGATTTTCATAAGGGATAGTGGTAAAAGTGTAACTTTTCTACTTATAAATTATTGTGTCAGGGAAATTTAAAGGTTCTCGTTAATAGAAGCTTTACATTGGGTGATAAATCCATGTTTAGTTACATATGTATTTTGTTATTTTGATGGTTGGCTAATTCAAAGATGACGCCAAAGCTTAGGAAATCGAACTTGGATTTTCGGCTTCAAAACTAAATTTCATATCCTTATTACACAGTGCAGAAAGTGGTTTAAGAAGATCTGTCTTGAAAATAAATATAACTCATATGTCTGAAAGTGTTAATTAAAGAGTGTTGTTAAGTTAGTTACCTTAAAGCAGACATGGAACAAATGGCTTCCCTAAACTAAACCCACCCAAAGCATACAGTGAGCATAATTAAGTGATATAGAAGTAAGTTACTATTACTAAATGTCTAATCTTAATCCTACTTTTAAAAGTTGTGGTACTGAAAGATCAAGTTTATTCATTTATTACTGAATTAATTAAAGCAAAATGCTTTTTATTCAATTAATTGTAACATTACTTTTGTTATGTCGTTATGTTCCTTACAGGCTTTTGCTAACTAATGTTCTCAATATCAATACAAAATTAAATGATTTGGGGGGAGGGGGGGGGCGCAAACAACACAAGTATTGGTTACTGCTTTATGTTTCCAAGGGGGCCTTGGCCAAAAAAAAAGTTTGAGAACCACTGCTCTATGCCCAAACTGTGTTAAGTCACATCATTCTGTTTTGGCTGTTAAAAAGTTCCCAAAATCAGTAAGGAAAAAGTTACCTGGAATATTTGGAACAATGGGCCTTCCACCAGTGGCAATGAGAATGTGGTCAGCTTCATACTTCTGACCATTCACTTCAACAGTCTTGTCAGAGGTAAGGATTCCATGGCCCTCAATTTTTTCAACTTGTGACTAAGAGGAAATAAAATAATTTACTTTTTTTTTAAAATCACCCTTCTTTGTCAACATGAGACTTAAAGAACAAAAAAATCATAAAGACTAGTATGTTGTTAATTACTATTTAGGGTTTAAATTACAAAATTTCATTTTATGTTAAAGTCTTGTTTTTCACTAAATCATATTTATGAAAAATATTTGTCTTTTTGAAAAGTTATCTCTATAAAAACTCTTAGCTTATGTGGTTATTTTATTTACAATTCATTAAATAATCCTAATGACTTTTCAAACCTTTTCCAAGTTGGACTCATAAATACCATTCAATCGTTTTATGTAATCATCTCTGCTCTTTTTGATTCGCCTGAAATTAGTTTGATTTTTTTAATGACATAATAAATCTTTTATCCTGGTATTTCAACTCTTTTAAAAATTACATATTTTATAAATTCCTAGCCCTAGACATAATGACCAAAAATGTTCACATTTTTAAGGCACATAACATTATCACCATTTGGTCTCACCTCCAGTCAAAAGCTTTAATGTCTACATCAAATCCATAGCCTTTGTGGTCATGAAGAAACTCTGCATGCAAGGCTGTGTTGTACATGACCTTCTTTGGGACACATCCAACATTCACCTGATACAGACCAAATTTGCTATTGTTTATTAAATTAGTTTAATGCGTAATAATTTTGAAATTGCCCAATTCTGTCCTTTGGCCAAAGCATGCCTTTTCATCAGATTGCAACTTTATATAATAAATATTGGTCTTTGTGCCTATACTTGTGGTGCTTAAGAGTGTAAAACCCAAAGCTGAAATAACAAGAGGAAATAGGGCAAGCGCAGCAGGTCAACAGGTCTTGCTGCATATCTCAGGTACCGGTATACAAAAAAGTTGCTATGTTTTTGCCTCATCTTTCCCACTTTCACTTAGCATAGTTACACAAAAAAACAAGAGTATTTAGTACTACTACTGCCGTCAATACAGTTACAAGAGTAGTCAACAACAAAAAAAGAGACCAACTAAATGTATTCCTTTATTATTGGTAATAATATATTGGTATATTTGGATTATAAACATAACATAAGGTTTTACTCTCTGACTTGCCATTTATCACATTTGGTCAGAGTGCAATTCTGTTTACTTAAATTTAAATGCCAGATGTGGAAGAGTTCTCATCCCAATAGTCGCATATCTATGCATGAGTGAAATGCCCTTTGTTTACAAAGTACCCATTTTATGACATCTGTGTCTCATTTTTATTTTTCTATTTAAAAGCTAGGATATTTTTCAAGGTTGAATAAAGCAAAAAATCTCATCATTTTGATAAATCATAAATGGATTTCAACTTTACTGAAATCATTTAGATATCATTTTCAGTGGAACCTGTAATAAATTGTGTTACAGCGTTTTGGTACTGGTATGAAAATGAATCTGTAATTTAGGTTTTCATATGTTCAATTTTTTTAAATTATTTTTTTTTCTTCATTCTTATGCTTTTCAATTTTTTACCACGGCATGACGCTGTAGCATACTTGGTTACAATTAAGTTGCTGAGTTTAAATTTTAGGGTTCTGGTTTAGTTTTTAAGGTTTCATGCAAGGTTTAGCGATATATTTTAGGGTTTTGGTGGCTTAATATAGAGATACAAATTAAGGTTCGGCATTGGCTTAGTTACATTTTTTTGTAGAGCATCATCTTCCTTTTTGTGTCTACCATCTTGATTTTGACGTCAATGAGTGATTTTTCAACGAAGATGGGGCTCAGGAAAACAAAATGGCATCCAACCCATCTTATCCTCTTTTCACAGAGTTATCTGGACCATATGAATGTATAATCCAAATGGGGCATGCTAATCAATTCGGTTAATTCTGATTACACAGTACACTCAGGAAAAGTAAGCATTTACTCAGTGCCTTGACATTTAACTGTTTTGAGAGTGTTTTTTTTTGTTTTGTTTACTTTAACACAGAAGAGTTCTCTGTACCATATAATCCAAACTCTCCTTAGCCAGCTTTAACTCTAACCCTGTACTGTGCATCCCTAATTATGCTGCCTAATGCCAGTTAAATGTATCCCTAAACCTAACCTGAACCCTAAATGTATCCCTAATGGAGTAATCTTGCAGTTCAGGAGAGTATATTATTTCTGATCGCATTTAGTATTATTAAACTTACATGTATTCTTCATTGAATTAAATCCAGGCAGTGATTGATAGTTAACTAATACTGAATTATACAGCACTTATTTTCGTTTTATTTTATGTCTTTGAACATCCCCCAACCTTCCAAAGCTCAATTTGATTTGTATTTTTCACCCTGTTGCCAGATTTTTGATCACCTATAAGTTGGTATGCTAAACAAAATTTTCAAATTGTAGGCATGTTCACAAAAAGAATGAAGTATGTTTTGTTGAACTTAATTAGATGTTCCTTTATTTTACAGGGGCCCAAAACTCTTTTTTATTACTTATATGGGGTTTATAAATATAATTCCAAACAAAGGCTCCTGCATGGGCATGGGTGAATGGAACGATATCAAATTTAGCACACATACACTTGGGTATCCATATTCAAAAACCAGTACTGAAGTTAATTAATTCATAAGTCTCATAAGTTTAATTTTTTCTAAAACTAGCCAATATAGCCTACACGGCGTTGCTAGCGATGACGTTCGGAAATGAACATCTTTTAAAAGCCCTTTAGCTAACATCTAAATTAAGGGGACTGTAAAAAAACAGGGAAGTGGAAAATTGCAATCTGGCATGTAGGGTGAATTTAAAAAACACAAGAAAATGGAGAGATCGTTTACGCTACCGACTATGTACCAATGGGGGATGTAAAAATCAATAAAAAGAAAAGTTAGAATACTGTCTGGACTAAATTTTATATAATAAAGAATAGAATACACATAAGTTTACACAGGGGTAATACAAAATTCGATCAGAAATAATATAGGCACCTGAACTGCAAGATTACCCTTTAATGGCACCAATTCTCTGCATTAGCCAAAATGCCAAAATGGTAAGCGGCCAAAATGGGTAAATAAAAAAAATTTGATTAAAAAATTAAATGTACACTTAGTAGAGCATAATATTAAATTTCCTCTTTCATACTAATTTAAATTAGGGCCTGTATTGAATTCAACAAAGCATTAGTTAGCCTATAAACTAGAAGGTAAATAAAATCAAGTTAATTTTTTTTAAAATAAACTTCAAAACAAATAAGACTAGAAAATTTTAATTAAAATTATTTTAATTTACGCAAGTTCCGCCCCATCTCCCCTCCTCAATGATTGCGGCTTTAATTCCAAATTCAGCTGCTCTTCTTGCACTTGCTAGTCCACCAGAGCCCCCGCCAATTACTAAGTAGTCGAATTTCTTTACGATTGGTGCCATTTTTGTGATAAAGTGCTTCGTCATGGACAGTACAGTTATAAACTGTGAAAATACGTGCCCAACAGCTGAGACGGTTTGCAAGTGTAAACTTCCGGTATAACTCATTCAAAATTGAAATAATCGTTTTTGCAACATTAAATTCATTTAAAAACGTCCATTTTTATTTTTTAAAATTTATATTATCAAATAAAAAAAAAGATAAAATTTACATGTTAAATTTTTTAAAAAATTTTTCCAATTATCTTCAAACTATGATGACTGATGATACTGTAACGAATTAACAAAATAATTCATACGTAAATAAAATCAGTTTTTAAAACAAAATCCTTGCATAGCAACTGAATATACAATATGGTGGATTTGAATGTGAATGGTTGCTGTACCATCTCTATTTTGTTCTGTAAATGTGTTCTTATGTTGGCATGAACTAAACAGTAAAAAATCGCAGCAATACGAGTGCGTGAAAAGAATAACATATTGATATTGATATGTGCATTGTTTTAAATTATTATTTATTATTTACATGGACATCAGGACCCCATTTACTTTTACAGACTCTATAAAAGTATTATCTATACTACTTAATCAAACTCAAAGTTAATCCCTTAATCCTAAATCTTATTGAAATTCTTATCAAAATTATCATAATACTATACTATACTACAAAGTCACACCATACAGTGACTTGATATACATCATAATCATACTGACTACTGCCAACTTGCCCATACCATAGGCAAGACAAGTTCTAGTAATAATTTAAAGTAATAATAATAAAGACTAAAGAGTCAGAGAACTGAGTAACACACGTATCTGAATGAGCAGAGACATGACATAAGATTGATAAGGATAGGAATTCAAGTATTGGTCTAACCTAAACAAAATATAAAAATAATGAAATAATTGAAATATTCAGTGAAAATATTTGAACAGATTATTTGTCAAATATTTTTAAGTTACACTCACTGAGTCTGAATTAAGATGTACCACTGTACCACATTTTGAAAATCGTAATTATAATTTAAAATTATTATATCTGCATTTTACCACTTATTTATACTTAAACCTTAAATGCCATTAGCTCATGCACAATTCCAATATTACTTTTAAAAAATATGGTTGCATAAAAATATAAGAAAATAATTAACCTTAACAATTTACAGGCAGCAAATATTTTTTTCATTCAATTGAAATAGGGCTGCACTGTACAGTGATTTCCAGCATCAAGACATTTAAAGCAAAGGAAGTCTATACTGTAACTTTTCAGCCAAAGTGTGTGAACTTATATACTAGTATGCTATGTTTATAAAGTCTACATTTAAATATAATTTTCCACAACCTGTTGGTTAAAATTTCTTTATATTTAATTTTATAAAAGTGTGTAAATTGTATTACTATAAACAGTAAATAAGATAGTGTTTGAAAATTTTAAAATCTATTTTTAATCTTCATGTAATTAAATCTGAATGTGTTAATTACTTATGTGAACGTCTTGGAAAGCTCTATTAATAAATGTTTGACTGTAATAATAATAAATAAATGATTTAAAAAAATAATTTTTTAAAAATTACTATTTAGCTTATATAGTCTAATTTCTAGTCTAATAATCCCTTTTTTTTTTCTTTGCAATCCAGCATAAAACATCAGTCATGGAGGACATGTACATGAAAGAAGCTAAACAAATGATAAATGGCTTCATTGACCTAGCTTTTCGTAGACTGGAAACAAGTATGTCAGACAGAGAAAAGTCATTTGAATCTATCAAACAGTTGCATAGGTCAAGGGAACACACAATACAAAAAGAAGATACTTACAATGTGGAAAATATAGAATGGTTAACTATTGAAGAATTTACTCCTCAAAGAGGTGAAGAGAAAATTCGTGAATTCATAACAGTAAGTGCATGGTATAGAAAAATCCAGCGAGATTTTCTTATTTTAGGCCTACTGGTACCTAAAGAGACTTGAAATAATTTTTAAAAAACTTGGATTTAACATTTATTAAAAAATCTAGGCCTAATACTTATAAATTTTAAGTTTTGACGCAGAAAATTAAATTTAACTTAAATTGTTAACTTACATATTGTTTGTTTAATTCATTGAGAAAAAAATACTAAGAAACTAAATGTTGTCCCAACTCTCTTTACAGACATGGGAGTTTGAGAATTCCTGGTTGTATTGCGTAGATTTTCTTAGTGAAGAGGACACAGAATTTGATAAACGGTATTTCTATCGCTTGAAGTGGAGCATTCCGACTCGTCGTAAGCCCATTCCTAGAGCTACAGCCTCTGTTTATTTTACATATGTCGTTTCAAAAATCAGACCACCGGTTAGTATAGATTTTCTTTTTAAAATATTTTTTTAGGCTTTTCAAGAAATTTCAATAAATTCTGTGACCTCATTTTATAATATTTAATCTAAGGCAGTCCCTCACTGTCTTCAGGTATTTTAAAATAAATATATATAGTTTGAATGCAGAGTCTCATATAGATATTTTCTTATGATTCTGTCATAGGCCATTTTAAAGTCCACATAGAGTTGATGTACCGGGATATTACATTTGTAACATAATTTCTCTGGTAGACATCTGATGGTGAAAACCTGATCAGTCATCAATCTGTTTTTTCTGAATCCACATTGGTTGTCACCAAGTATTTTTTCAGTGTATGGTTGTAGTCTTTTGGCAATTAGTTTTGTCAGTATTTTGTATGTAACATTTAATAGGGAAATTCCTCTGTAGTTTGTGCATTGAAGTTTTGAACATTAGTGTATTGGGGTCATTACTACTGTTTACCATTCTGTTGGAATTTTATCTTCTTGCCAAATTTTAGTCATAAATTTATTTATCTGAGTTTGTAGTTCTCTTCCTCCATATTTAATACGTTCTGTCGTGATGAGGTCTTCTCCAGAGGCTTTGTGGTTTTTCATAGTTAAAGTGAGAAATAGGTCTTGTTAAAATTGAATTTCTTTTAGGATATTTAACGCACAGAAGTAAATAAATAAATGTACTCTTTTTCTTTAATGAAAGTTTTTAACAAACATTTAAGCTTTAACATACCTTGTGCCTTATATTTTACAGCTTGATTTCAGTGTCACCATATAATGAATTTTCTCCATTCATTTCTAGGAGAGTCCAGTGGAAGTGTTTTATGTATTTGAGACCAATAGATTGATTCATAAGTAAGTGTAAATGCCATAAGAATTTGAAACATTTGGGAAAAAAGAATAACCATCAATTAAATTGCTGGAATTTGATCATTATTTCATTATCATTTGTGTCTTAAAGAATTAGCGACTATTTGATTGCCATGTTTATAATTTCTTAAGAGTTTATTTTTCTTTTAAAAATAAACATTCATTAACAGTTTTAATATTTTAATTTCACATTCTCTTATTCTTTTTGAAATAGGCCTGGGCTGTCACGCTTTAGGGAAATGTGGCTGAAAGACATCATAGAGAGTAAAGTGAAGATGATTAACGAAGTGACTTTTTAATGTCCGACCTGCCTGTTTGCAGTTCATGATTTTGTATTAAGATTTTTTATTTTATACCTGAAATCGAAAATTTAGAATTGAAAGTACAAAATACTACTATTCAACTTTGTACTTTACAGACAGAATTAAAGTTGTTTAAATTCATTGTCTTTTTTCCCACACAGCCAGATTTTCTCAAATGGTTTGTTACAATAATTTCCTGCTATGGCTATTAATAAATGATGAAAAATAACAAGAATTCCAAGAAAATTCAAATCAAAATAAGAGTTCCATTATTTTTAAATTTAATTACTAAATGAGTATAAAAAAAATCAGTGAAAATGATTTCATTTACTCCTAGTGACTAAGTGGGCTGAAGTGGGATGTACATTTTTAGAAAAATTAAAACACTTTAATGAACCCAAATATATAGGCCTAGAGAAAACATTAAGAGCCAAAAACTGGATTATCAAAGTTATTAATAATTATGATAAATTTTAAAATACATTTTTAAAAGTCATCAATCCTATACAAAAATATTTATCTATAGATGTTGCTTTTGAATGATTTTGAGAATTTCATATTTAAATTTTAATACAGATACTTGAAAATTTTAATTCATATTTGGATTTAAATTATTATTTTAGTTTGCAGCCAATTTTATTCAGTTTTTATATGGTTCAGGCAGCTTATTAACGCTGCTCACGAGTAAAGAAATTAATACATTTTAAAATATTTTAAAGGCTTAACAACAGTTTTTTTAAGAGGTCTGTATATTTGAATTACATTAGAAGAAAAAAAGAGATCAATAGTTATGAACCAAATTCTTGTATCTTGCAATAAAAGTTACTGAGAAAACTCATTTTTTATAATAATATTGTACATAATATTAATCATATATTTGGTTAAATTCCTTTTTCCCAATAAAATTGTACATGATAATTTTAATTTAATATTTTGTTAAACACTTTACATATTTTTTATGGTTGAATAAATATAAAAGGCTTACGAAACATTCTTAATTTTACTCATTGTTTCTTTATTTTACTAGACAAAATAAAATAGATTGGGTAAACCCTAAGCTTTCCCAATTTGTTAATTGATATAAAGATGCTGCTAAGATTAATTTATAAGGTAAAATCATAAATTTTAAATGTATATGGGCATCATTTACAGCCTTAATAAATTATCCATTTTCCACCCATTTCAGAAAGTAAGTTAGAACCATTATGTCTTCACATAATATCAGTGATACACTTAATTCATTGAAAAGTTTATAATAATTAATATTACCCGCTTTTGATCAAAACTGACAATTTAAAAAAATAACACACATTTAAAAAGATTTCTTTTAACCTTTGAAAAATTAAAAGGCATAAACAAAATATGAATAAACTATTTTTCATTAAATTAAATTTATAGTTTTAGGGGGTTGTCACAATTTTACTTTTCCGCACATTGATACCATACCCAGAGTTAAATTTCCAATAGGAAAGGGGCTATAGTGAACAGACATATAGAACATTTGCACACACATAACATAGACTGAAATGTTAATCATTGCCAAATATAGTGTACCCAAGAAGATCCTGATTTAATCATGAAATATCTGTACTAGAACTATAGCTTAGGGCCAAGGTCTTAAGCGTGTTGCCATCTAAGCTCTTGCCTTTAACTTTAACCTACAAATTACAAAAGGATTGGTAGTATGTTAAAGAGACAACAATAAATATTTGAAATAGCAGGAGTCATTGCAGTTGTCCTCAAGTTGCCCAGTAGATCAAAGGAAATAGTTCATTTTAATTAAAAAAAGAAACAAACAATCAATTTCAAGAATAATTTTTTATTTGATTACATTTACTGGTTGTTTTCTAATAATGCTACTATATGTAAATTAGTTAATTAAATGCACTGTGCTATTTTCAAAATTACAGCAGTATTTTAACTGCAGGTGCTATTAATTACAAAAAGATATAATGTTTCTATTTTTTTTTCTAAGTGAAACAATTCCATTGAAATATCTTTCAAAGAATTCAAATGATAATTATTTCTTACTGTAACTGTAATGCATTTGCATACTTACAGCAGTTAAACTGACAGGAGGGTTTGGAAGGAGGCTGGGGGCAACAAAAAAAAGGGAGTAGGGAGATTTGATGTCTGCTCCTCCTGGCCCAGTACTAGTTACTTAAGTTACACCACTCCATACTTATAAAATTCTTACATGTTTGTAAATACAAAAGAAAAAACTGTTGTATGCAAAGAAACGCTAAATAAAAATTTAGCAAGGATATAAAATAGTCTTTAAATTTTCATTTGCCTAGGCTACAAATACTGAAAATTTAGGAAGATTATAAAAAGAACCCTTAATAGTCCATAATTTTGACCATGGAACATGTTGAAATGTGATAGAAATACGCCATTTTTGTCACACAGAACATTTTGAGAAGCTTTAATATAAAAAAAAAAATTATTTTAATGATTTAAAATATTTTTAAAAGAGTTACAAAATTTTTCCAATGCACCATTTCTGCAGATCCTTTAAAATGTGATACAATTTTCAGCTATCTCATACAGGTAGGGAGGTCTATATTGATTTACCTAATTTAAGTATAGTCCCTTTACAAATGGGAGAAAGGGGAATGGCATGGTTGCTCAACTGATCCTAGATCTATAAATTGCTACATTAAAATACATGCCAAAAACTATACTCTGTAGATAACATATTACCATTAACAAATTTGAAAACATACACTAAAAAATTGAATATAATATGTATAAATTTGGCTAAAATAAATTCAGATTTTGTGGAATGTTCAATGAAAGTGTGTAGATAATTGAGAAAACCAAAAAAGAATTTAAATAAATCATCTATATTGCAGAATAATTAACTTTTCTCATTAAAATATTCAAGGAAAATAATACATTTGTGACTAGTTTCTTATCCCTGGTTTGGGAACTATTTGCCACTTTGCGGACTCAGTGAAAATCTGGCTTATTGTGCCCCGGTTCTTTCTAATATTATTCCTGCCTGCTGAAGAAGCAGCTCGTGGTTGTGGTTGGGGATCAGACTGCAGTCTATTTATCTCATGCATCAGCCTGGACATCCTTCCACCCTTATCCATTTCAGCTATTTCTCTCCCATCCTTTACTTTTGGTGCTAGCTGAGGTTGTGGTTGTTGTTTGCCATACTTGTGAAATAAGCTTTCCATCTGAACACCTCTATCCAAGTTGGCAATTTCCTGTGCTTCAGGTTTAACTCGAGGAACACCTCTTGCAGATCTTGGGGTTTCTCCGTACTTTCCCATAATTTTTGCCATGCTAGCCCCCATCCCATTGGCAGCAATTTCCTGAGCTTCAGGTTTTATTCTTGGAGCATTTCTGGGTGTGTCAGGGATAGAATGTGAATTATGAAGCAGCATGTTAACTCTACCACCTCTACTTAGATCTGCTGTTTCTTCGGCTTCATGTTTGACCCTTGGATTAGGACGAGGAGATGATTCATTTTTACCATAATTTGTTAACAAACTATTTATTTCTCTACCTTTATGGGACTCTGCAATGCCTTCACTTTCTACTGTAACTCTTGCAAATGGACGAGGCTCAAAAGGTGGAGGTTGACCACTACCTCCAAGTAAATTTCCTATGTGTCCAGTTCTTGAATTTTCATAGTTTTGTCGTGCTTCTCCTGTAGGACAACGAGGTGAAGGCGGTGGAGGAATGACATGTTTGTGCTTTTGTGAGTTGAAAAGATCTATGCAACCTCGGCTTTTTCCAGCATATTCCTCAGCCTCAGGTCGAACTCGTGCATTGGGCTGACGCTCGTAAAAGTCCCCAGTTTCATCAAAACCTGGATAAGGGCATGTTTTCTGCATAATTGCTCTGAAAATAAATGGAATATTTAATCATTTAGCTTTTACTTTATTTAATAATTTTCAGTGTTTTATTTTTTTTGAAAAATAAATAAAAATAAAAGCTAAATTCTGGGCTGGTTTTAAATGCTTCATTTTACTCTTTTTGATAGTTACATAGTTTAGGGTAACTAGCAGTGGCGACGCCATCAAATTTAACATGGTGGGTCCCTTGCAGGTCTTAAAAAAAATTTGGCGGGTCCCAAATTAATGTATTAAAAATAAAATTTATTTATTAAGTAATATTTATTAATCTACTAACTTAACCCAAAGTTTACATACATTGTCAATTGTCATAATAAATTTATTTGTTTATTTATTTTATTTTTGTTTCTATCAACAATTTAATGAAAGAATTAAATTTTAGCATGGCGCTTTTTCTTTGATTCTTTTTGCGTTTATCGATTTTTCAAGTTATAGAGTTTCTATAAACACACACGCACAAATATTTATAAAAATAGGTACATAAATCAATATAAATAAATAAGTATATATATATATATATATAATATATATATATAATATATATATATAGAAAATAAAACTTGAGTGTCAGTATGTACGCTATGGGGGGGAGGGTACTGAAAAAGTACGCCATGCAACAGGGGGGAGGGGGGTCAAAATTCGCGATATTTTTGGGTACGTAATATATGGATGGCCTCTTACAAGTTAAAAACTTAAATTTTATATATATTACATTTTATGACGTTATATTGACTTTTGTTGTTGATAAAAATTTAAACATATAAATAAGGCATTTAAAATGGAAGTTCTCTTACATGTAATGTAGTTTACGCTTAATGAGCATATATACAATATTAGTAACTAATAAAAATTTACCAGGTCATTTGCCAGGTCCCAAGTTTTTTCACCAGGTCCTGGGACCCGGCGGGACTTGGTGTAGCGTCACCACTGGTAACTAGACTAGGAACATACTTTTTTTTACTATACTCTATACTTTATTAAAATATTTTTGTGGTGTCCATTGTTTTTTCACATATTGAAATTGTCAAATGATATTATAATTATATAAATCTCATACTCATAACTATGACTATGAGTCATGAATACGCGTTTGGACCCCTGCCCACCCCAAAAGTGGATTGCCCTGCCTACCCAACAGCCTGTTATTGAATGAGTTAAACGTTCACGTTGGTTAGTAAAAATAAGAAGCCAATAACTTTTAATAACTTATCACATATTCACATTTTTTAGGCAAGTATCCAGTACCAGTGGTCAGTGGTAGGCCAATTTACTATAAAATGCTACAACTAGTAATTTTACTAATTTTTAGCTTTATCTTACGTTGACTCACTCGACTCGGTCACTGACTTAAACTTAGAGCAGACTACACAATTAATTAGAATCTCCGTGCCTAGTCGTAGCAAGGCTGTACTGTAGCTGTAACTGTAGTCTACACAACGTAGACGTAGGCCACAGTAAGCACGGTATATTAATATATTATTTACAAATTTAGGACAAGATATTATATAGTTTTTTTACATCCTGTTGTAAAATGTAAATTAGCAGCATATTCTCAAACAAATGTGGGCGTTTTTCTTATTACCGGAAAAATAATTGCGGAAATCGTCGGAATAGAAGAGATGTGCAAAAAGAATAGATGTCTAGTAACCACGGTAAACAATTATTTCATCTTACCTCGTTTTGATATTTCATTTCCGAGTTGGGAATTTTTAAAAGTTGAATTTACTTACCATTAGAGACGGAACTATTTCAGAAAAATCGAAAATGCGATATTTCAGGGTTTCTTATTATAGTTTGGGGAGTGTGAGGTAGTGTTTTAAGTTGTTCACACAGCAGAGGCGTAGCGAGGGGGCGGGGGGGGGGGCAGATGTCCCCGAGCGTAAGCTAGTTAGGGGCGCCAAAATGTGACTTGATATTATATTATTTGTAAAAATATTGGGTTTGAGAATTGAAAAAAAGAAAAGGGGCTTTAAAATGGATCTTGTCCCCGGGGGCCAAACACCCTCGCTATGCCTCTGTCGGGCAGACACAGGGAATCAGGTCCATTTACATTTTTGTGTTGTTTTTTTTATCGTGGGTGTTTTTGTTATCTAATCGAGGCACGGGAAATATTTTGAAATCAATAAAGGATGCTGCGCTTTAAAAAAGTCAAGAACACCTGAATAATAAAGTCCCACTTTTTTTTTTTTTAAACCAGCGTGCAAGTTCATCTGGACAGTGAATTTCAACTTCAAAGTATATTGACACGGGCTCAATTCCAGCCGATGAAGATACTGTGCTGATTCCATCCCCTAATTGAATTTTGGAAGTGGGTTAGTCATTAATTTAATGCTCCGCTTCTTGGAACCACTATGGCACGAATGACGTCATTTAAGGAAAGCCCCTTACATTTATAATCTCTACTACATGTTTTCTCTCTGTTAAATGTCAACTCTCTATTACAAGTCTTCTCTCTATTAAACACCAGTTTGTAATATCAAAAGACTGAGAAAAATGTTATTTGGCAAGAAGTCGACTCAAATTGAACCATCACCATGAGCGGTTGAGAACTTGATATACATTGGCTCTACGAGCCCCAACTCACTATCCATTGATGTACCAAGGTCAACTGTAAAATCCCCAATAGCAACAACGCCTTGTGGCTATTCTATGGAAGAAGAAGAAACTAGAGTGTCTTGAAACTTTAACACGATCAACCACAAACATGATCTCACCGCGAGTCTTGATGCTTAATACTTAATGTAGTTCTTGTACACGCGCATTTCTCCCAAATGAGATGTCGGCAACGTATTCCGCGCATCACAGTGCCAACACTGAGGTTCTGGAATGTGCAGTTCACTAGTTAGGTCATGCCAAGGGATTCGAATTATTGGAGGAAAAGAATAAAGGATAAGACAGATGGGCTGGGCGTGTTGCGAGAATGCTGGACAGCAGACTTCCTGAAATAACTAATGTTCGGTGAACTCTCCCGGGAGAGAAACGCTCTGCTGGTGGGCAGAAAAAAAAGTGCATTCAAGGACAGTCTAACAAGTCACTCAAATCCAAGGACATTGACCTTGATTTGTGAGAAACACAAGATGACGTGGCAGACTCACTGTTGGAGCACGCTCCTTAAAGTGCACTGCTCATGCCCAAAGAAAGCACATGGCAAGGAAAAGCAGAATCGACTCATATCCAAGTAAGGCCCAAAATAGCTTGTGTCCTTACGTGCTGGAAAGCTTTTCAGGCACAGATCGGACCAGCAAGCCACCTGCGTAGTACTCACCGTTGAATATAGTCTTGTTCATCTTCGCATGGAACAACATTGGAAAAAAGGACCGACAACATGGGAAATGGAGAGAGGGAAAGACAGCCAGAATGTAGGCAAGACAGATCTGAAAGCAGCCAGCATCAGCACAACTGAACGGGAGGTTATCACTGAAGACTTTTTATTTGGGTAAAAGGGTGCTAAAAGTAAGCAACAAACAAATATTTTTTTTAAAAATAAGGCTAAAGAACAATTAATGTAATCATTGAGATGTGTAAAGTGTAAAAGAGATTGGTACAGCTATGTACAACAATTATTAGTGAATTATAAAAAATACAACAGAAAAGCAGTAGCACAACACAATAACAGATAAACAGTGGTGTTACATTGTACAACACTTGACAGGTTAGCAGTAGTGTTACCTTATAATATAACAGATAAACAGTGGTACAACAATTAACAGATGAACAATAGTGTGAGACAATAACTGCTAAACAGTAGCAGAAAACAATAGTTCAGGGGTACTCAAACTGTTTAATCAGAGGGCCAGGTTCACTGTACCTCAGATATTGTTTTAAAATATGATGAATTCATATGCACACTACACATATAATATATGTAGTAAAAGAAAAAGGACAAAAAAAACACTACCAGTGTTTACAATGTATGGGCCTGCATTTGGCTAAATAGAAGGTCAATATCCGTTTCCAAATACATCCCTGCTTCACAGGTAGCCGTAGAGTTGGCCAGGCGGGCGGATTAAGGACCCCTGGCAGGCCGGATCTGGCCACCGGGCCCCTGCAATAGTACAAAACAATAACAGAGACACTCATACAACACACACACAAGTTATATAATTTTCAATTTAAATACAATCGTTTAATGAGACTTGAATGAATTACCATAACAACCGTTGACATTTCATAAAAATGTGTCACTAAAACGAAACAAACTGTGTTTGGTTGGCCACTTTAATGACATATAAAACCAAATAACGATTTCTCTGATGCTGAAGATCACATCAGACAACTAATCCATATAACATTTCATAAATGAATACATGGATCTTATATCACATCCCATATAAAAAAAGAATCAAACTTTCTTTACATGAATGTAAGCTTTATAAACAGAAAAAGAAGACTACATAAAAATATTTTTTTTAAAACACCTGCCAAATATATAACAATTAAAATACAATGCAGATAATTTTGTAGAGGTCAAATAAAAATGTTTGAAATCTCCATGGCACAGATTCTTGGTCAAAAATATAATATTAACAACAAGGTGTGGTAGTAGTATTGATAGAAATTTGGTCAAAATTGTCACAAATGTTTGTTTTTGTCACTTTCAACAATGTCACAAATGATACCGGTAATAAAAACTAACCTGACTTTCCAAGGTTAAAACAATAAAGGTAATTCAATACACATATTTGCAGAATTTATCTGCTCCAGTTATATTTCTAATGAGGGAATTCCCACTGATTATTCTTGAATTTCTTGATCATGTGGCTGGAATTATTCAATCATATCATAAATAATTCTCTGTTAGCTATTTTAATGAAAGTGTGATGAATGTTCAGAAAATTACTTGGTGTCCTATTCAGGGTAAGGGGCTACTTACTACCAACACACAATCCCCTCAAAAATATTATCATAAATTTTTTTCATGGAGCCACGGTTGCTCTACCCTCTCTATAAAATAATATTAAGGCTCAAAGTTTGCAGAACAACGTTTAAGATCATGCTGGAGCGGTTATTTTAACTTCTTCAGCACAGGCTCTTAACAGTTTTAGTTTTTGATGGATGAAAATATGAAAAATCCTGCACATTAACTGGGTTTCTATGTTTAAGACTGCCTATTTAAATTAATTATTTTATTTTTTGAATTTAATAAAGTCAATGCATAAATTTCAGAATTAAATAAATTATTTGAATAAGACAATCAAGGTAACAAATATTCAACAAAGTCTGTCTCTTTAGAAAATACCGGTACATTGCAGATTTTCTTTTCTTAATTTTTTAAAAATTACCTGTACCACAAAATATTTATTTAATTGTGAATAAATCCCATGTAAATAGTCTGTGTAATGGCCAGTTCTGCAGCCTGTAAATAGTATTAACAATTTGAATAATTAGAAATAAAAAAGCAATTTCTTACACTATTTATTAACTCAACAAACAAGGTATTTTAATTAATCATTCCAAAACGCCAGAACATTAATTGAAGAAATAAAAAGCTTATTTGCTAGATGAAAAAAAAAAGATTTTTTTTCAAAAGAAGGAAATATTTTACACTCAAGCGTAAAGAAATCAACTTTTTAAATGAACAAAAACATGGGTACATAATAAATTGTTTAATGGCTTATATTTGCAGTTTATACAATTTACAAATAACTTTATTTGAACTATTTTGAACATAAACAAAGTCAACATTAACTTGGCAATAAAAACTAATTGATATTCTTTGGATGTAACCAATTCACTAAAACCAATGGTAGTTTAACAATCAAAACCAACTCACCATGAGAAATACTTGTTTTCTTGAAAAAACTGAACCCAATTATTTACTCTTCAATTATTTAGGACATGACGACCCAAAGAATTTAGCGCTTCTAGCTAGACTAGATAGTTAATATAGTGAGACTGAGAGCAAGACTTGATTTATTCCCTGACCAGCATTAAGGAAATTAAGAGCATAAAAGTGAACAGATAGTACACCCGTTTGGACTTTTCAAATCTAAAGAGATATAGCAATTAGGAACTGCTGGACTTTTAATCAGGAATACACCTGCTCCCGTCTAAACCCCCCCCCCCCACACACACACACACCTTAATAGACCTCCAAGGGCAAAGTAGGATAGAGGGAATTTTCTTTAGGAGCATCCACTTCTTTATCAACTTTGTATTTTTGTGATTTAATGAAAATTGTATTCTTACTTATTGCAAGAAAAAAATGGGGGGGGGGGAAGAAATGGAGTGTGTGACAGGAGTATGGCATAGTAAGGTAGAGTCAAAATTGAAAACATATAGTTATAATCAAGATTTACAGCCTGAATTAGAACATCATGATTAAAACATAATAGAGCTAAATCAGCAGTGAGAGCCTTTATACTTTATGATATATGACTTGAAGCTGGTTAATGACAGTGGGTCACAATACACAGATGAGAATGCTCAAGTGGCGCCTGGACAACTGTCCATCACATCCATCGAGACAGCACTACATGAGAAGGAATGCAAACAGTTGACCCTGTGGCAAGATGACAGTAAAATCTATAACAGTATCTTCAGTGGCGTAGGAAGAGTGGTGACAGTCCAGCATGAGCAGCACTTTTTTTCTTTATAAGGAGGGGCTGTATTTTTGGGAGACTGCACAGATTTCTTCATGGAAAGGGGAAAGCCTGCCTAACCCTAGCTACGCCACTTATTATCATGGTAAACTACAATTATGCAGTATGCCTTATAATATGTCAAACACTTGCAAGTTAGGGTAAAAAATCAACACTTGATTATTTTCTTTAGAAATGGTTATTTAAATTTTTTTTTTAGATATGGCATGGAAAGTTAGCTGAGATAAAACAGTTTATTCTTTCACTTTCAACAGTAAAGTAGACCTGTTCTTTTACGTACAGGTACTGAATAATTACTTGCTCTTACCAAAACTTAAGTATTTTTAAGAGACAACTACATCATCCTTAACCCACGAACTGTGGCATACATCATTCTATGGTGTGGAGCTTTTCAGAGCTTTTTGAGTGCCTTTTGAAATTGCATTAAATGACATAGAAATATTGATATAAGACCCCAATAATTATATATTTTTAGAAAGGTAAAGGGATGGGGATAAAGTTGGCCACATTGCCCACCCTGTAAAAAAAATTTTGCTCAGTGTCCTTGACCTTGGAGTTCTCAAGAAAAACAAAATGACAAAATGTCTTGCTTTCAAGGGCTCATAACATCATTAATTTTTATAGATACACTTAAAACACAAATCTAAATGATGTAGCCAATTCATTTATCTTTCAGAAAATGTATAGTTTGCTAAGGTTTTTATTGCAAATAAATGTCTGTAAGCAATTTAGTAATTTTAGGTCATTTATATTAGAAACTTGGACCACTGCTAAAACCAAGTACAAAATACAAAATCTCAGGCAAAATAGTTATTATTGACTAGTAAACATTTAAAAAGGAACTGTGGAACTGATTTGGGTTGTTTAACTATAAAATTTATTAGTTCTGAACTATAATCTGTAGCTTCTGTGACTAAAATTCAGTCAGTCCTTGCCCAACCTACGGGCCTGGCTCAAAGTCTAACAGTAGCCTCAGAAGGTCTACCTCAGTATCACTAAGACTAGTATAAAATTTACAAAAAGATTAATCTCAACTGATATCGTCATGGGGAATGTTAAAATCATCATCAGTATCACTTAAAACCTCTCCTAAAAAGCTTTCAAACATATTTCTATTAGTTCTTACACTGAAGGCCCAGCCATAGCTTGAACCATTTTAGCTTTAAAAGAAAACAGCGATATAAAACTCTGATTAAAAAGGACTTATTTATTATAAGTTATCAAGAAATAGCTTGCACCGGAAGATGATTTAATTATTAATAAAAGGAAGTGGCTATAATTCCGGTTAAATATTGGATTAGAAGTTGCTAATCGGACCGTGTTTTTTATCAGCCTATTTTTTCGGCCGCCACAGTACAGATTGAGAATGTCAGCAGATTTTTTTCGGCTGACCACAGTTCGTGGGTTAAATGAAGTTCATACCAACAAGCTTATCACTAAAACATATTGTTTAACACTATTAACAGTTAACAGAATCAGAGTATTTAAACTCACCATGATAACAAAGCAACATGCACAATTTTTCCAATATAGCGAATACTACCTAGTACCCTCAAAAGATGAAGCTAAACCATTAAGCAGAGGTCTTTATAAAATTAAAGTAAAATATTTATTTTTTAGTAACTTAAGATATTTTCCTTTGCCAGCCTGGTTGGAATATAGAAGTATTAGAAGGGATGGTGGTGGTAAATTCAACCAACAAATTTGAAGACCTTTTCAGTAGAGTACCGGTAACCATTTTTAGGAAATGCGTAAAACAATAAACATACATGATCAATTAATAATAAATACAATTAATCTCAATTAACATCAGCCTAATAAACTGGCCGGGATTGTGTACAAATGTCAAGGTATTTATAGCACATTGTTGGAATTCCCATGCTTGTCCTGAGACTCAGACAACTCAGAGTCATCATAAGAAGAGCTTTGATAGTATAAAGCAGCATCAACCTCATTGCTTTCTCGCTGTGATCGGCTGCCAGGAATGGGATAAACCTGGCGGGGAACAGAGTTTTTGACACCTTGCAACTCATTTGGGGGCAAGTCGTTAGGAGACGGTGATGTCTCCACAGGAGATGCTGGGCTCCTGAACATTTTAAAGCTTTGGGTGCCACTGTCGTGGAGTTTATCCAATGATGGAATATCACCGTTGCTGGCGATGCCTGTGCCAAAACTGTTGGAAAGAATATCACTGTCGCTCTTTGCCTCACTTAACAATTTGTTAAACTCTTGAACAACTGGCTGGTTTATCACACGAAAAAAGTGATCATCTGAGGGCTTGAAGAGTTCCTCCGTCTCATCCTCTTCTTCAATAGCCCCCTCGGAATGACATGAATCTTTAGATTTCCCATTTGGATGGGAATTTGTTTCAAAATGAGGCAAACAACCTGATTTGGAATATCCATTGTAATCCTTGGAATGGCTACCCTGAAACTCTGCCGCCTCGACACCTTGAGAAAGGCGAGCTTTGGGCTCGGCCACTGAATGTCTTGATAATATCTCCTCTTGACTAGGTTTGAAATTAGGCCCTGTCCCTGCAAAGCTCTCGGTGACAAACTCCCCGTCACCCCCACTGGTAGATTTACCACCAGTCTCCGAGGGTTCAATCTCAGAGACCAAATCCCTTCTGGTGTAACTAGAGGCATTACTAGAGGCCATCTGGCTCCTCCTGCTAGCATGTGACTCCCCGATGCTGGTCGGGGGTGGGGACTGTAAGGTGTTTGTGGCACTGCCTTTCTGCTCAGATGAAATACTCCTGAAGGATAGCAAGAAAATGTAAATTAACTCAAAATTCTTAAAAAGGGATGTGGTAATTAAATAGACCGTAGCACATGTGAGATAATAAGTCACTTATATTTGTGTCTGCTTTTGATGTCAACACAAGGATCTCATTACCTTCAATGGTATTTATTACCTGAATCTGAACACACACAAAATTTCTGAGATGCGCATTTTCCACAAAATTTGCTTAATTTTTTAAATATCAAAAAAATCAGTTTATATACATTATTTTAAGGCTTATTTTTTAAAAACTTTAGAGATTCCTGTATTTAAATTAACAATGGGAAATCAATATCGTCCGGTCTTGAAAAAGTGATTGAGCTTTTGTAACCTTATCTTTTCAAGGTGTTATTTTTCTCCTATTATGCAATGTGGATATAAAGTGTTAAAAAAAGTAAAAACATCGCCTTCTTTAGCAGTTAAAAGATGTGAGTGCCGAGGTGGCAACAAAAGGATATCTCTAAAGTTTTTTCAAAAGTTTTTTACTGTGCTCTGTTTACTTGTTCTACTTCTACTTCTATTTGTTTTGTTTGATGATGAAGGCTCTATGCCGAAACATCCACACCTTTTGTCCTGTCTGTGAATTCAAGTTTAGCATACCTTGTTCTTATATTTCATTAACTATCTTCTCACCAAAGTCTTATTTTTGAAATTATGTTTGTTTTAAAATTTTAAAAATTAAAGAAGTTCTGGTTTTTCTGGTAGTGGTAGCATTTTTCTAATAATATAGAAATATCTCTTGGTGTAAGGCTAATTAGGAGACAAGCTTTATTTGAAAAAAAAAATGGATCTTGTCTGAGACTTACGATCTGACTCCTAGTCTCTGTTCCAGCAAAGACTTCAGGTTAGGCAGGGTCTGCCTGAGATCATTGGTCCCTAGGCCGCAGTAGAAACGCAGCTGAAACATGAGAAATTAGAAGATTACTGTGGTAAAGCTCAAGAAGATTAAAAGATACAAAGTATTAGTTTAAAATTGTGAAGTTTTATTAATACTTTATATCGATGTGATGCCAAGCGGTTAAAACTGATTTTAACCCTTTTATCCACACATCGCCAAACTGCGTACATATAACATAGCAATAAGAAAAGTTTAATCTCCTTTTCTCTGTGCACCCCCACTGTATGCATGCCCATCATAACATGTTTACTCTATTCATAAATTGGTAGATCACAAATTTTAAATGAAATTAGCTTGTTTTAAGTCAGGTTTTCATGAAATTTTCAGTTTTTTACACTGATCGATAGCAATTTTGTTAAAAATGGGATTCAGATGATGAATGGAATGCAATTTAGATCCATTAAACATAATTCCTCAATTAATTATGCTACCTGCAGTAGTACAGATTCCTGTATTTAAATTAATAATGGGAAATCAATATCGTCCGACTTGAAAAATTGATTGAGTTTTTGTAGCCTTCTTTTTTCAACGTTTTATGTTTCTCCTATGTATGCAATTTGGATATAAAGTGTTTTAAAAAAGTCAAAACATCGCCTTCTTTAGCAGTTAAAAGATATGAATAATGAATGTATATTATAAAATTTGTAAGGCAAAAAATTTAAATCATATTTATAAAACTTAAAGATTTGTTTTCTTTTCATTTGGTTCTTCACTTGTACAGGGCCATGGCCCTTTACTTTTCTCATCACAACTAACCCGTGATCTCCACTTAATAATTTTATGCAATTTTTTATTTTTTTAAATTGTTTCCGAATAGTTTCCTAATGCGCTGGACCAGGACAGAGAAATGAAGTAAGAAACCTGCTGTGTTACAAAAAGGTCTATAAATACATATAAAATCGGGGTGAAACAGAAAAGAGTTTTTTTATTTATAGAGCTTTGTTTACCTGGCTAATGTTTTTGTTGAGAAGAAATACAGCATAATTATACTGGAATTTCTCCTTCCCCTTTCCGTACAAAGGAAATCTGAAAGTCACAGAAGGGTAGAAAAAATACATCGGACATCCTAAGTATAAATTGTACGAGCAAAATTAACACTTCAAAATATGCTTTGATGCATGTGCTAAAACAAGTCAGATTATAGCCACATAGTTTGATACAGATGATTCACATTAGTTATATTATACTGTGTTACACTGGGGCTCACTAACACACCTTTCGAATAACAATCGTAACATAATGCAACATGGAATGAGGGGAGGACCCAGTTCAAGTTGAACCGATAGGAGATATAAAGTACAGGGCAAAGGTAAACCTGAAAAAGGATGACACAAGACTGCGAGGCCTTCGTCAGCAAACAGGGAAAAGAACAACAAATGTAACATAAAAATAAAATGATACTCTTTCATCCTCTTGCAGTTCTCTGAGATACTACATACATATCAGCTAACAATAGAAAGAATAACCAATGTAATATAAAAATAAAATGATACTCTTTCATCCTCTTGCAGTTCTCTGAGATACTACATACATATCAGCTAAAATAAATATAAAAGGATAGTCTTTCATCCTCTGAGATACTATATATCAGCTAAAATGTTTTTTTTACATTTGATATTCATTCTTAGTACTGTTTGCTGACAAAGGCTTGTGGCCCACACATTTGTTGTTTTGTTTCCGTCTTTTTCAGGTTTTCCTCCAAAGTTTCCGGGTAATGCGGTAACACATTAAAATTTCTGCTACTTCTTATTTATGTAAGGTATTCCATTTGTTATAAAGATTTCTTTTTTTTTAATCATGATGAATTCTTACTCTGTGACTTACTCTCTATCTTTTTCTGTAAGTTTGCTGTGAATATGGTCTAAAATTGAGGAACGGGAGCCTCTGTGCACCATGGGATACCGCAGGGGCATGTCCATAAAGTGAGAGACCATCTGCGTCAGGTGACATGTGAAACCAAGGGCAACAGACAAGCGAACTTCATCTTGTCCTGAGATGATGAAAAAGTTTGGATTGATGTTTTTAATTTGTAATTGTCTCATTTTTACCATCATAAATTTATCATTGGACAAAGAATAAAAAAGCCAATTTTTACCTTTTTACAGATGTCCTATCTTACTGAACTTCTTTCTGTCTATTCTGTTCCTTTGCAGACACGCATATTCTTTCTGTTCCCAAGACACGCACTAAAACATACGATGAACGATCTTTCTCTTTCTGTGCCCCCAAACAATGGAATTCGCTCCCATTACACATTTGCAATATACCGACCATCCAAGCCTTCAATACTGCCCTCAAGACACATCTCTTCAAACTCTACTATTCTGACTCATTCTTACCTAGCCCTAGACTGGGTTACTGGGATATAAGACCACTTTAATAATAATAAACATTATTTCAGGGATTATCTGTTACCTAAATTAACAGTTATCTTTATTAAGTAATCTATATTATCATTTATCTACATTTGTTAATATAAAACCTAATGAAAAAAAAAAAATTTAAGAGGACTTAACAAATGATACTTTAAGGATATTATGACACTTTTAGTAGTAGATTTAATAAAGATACCTAGGATGTAATGAAAGAACAAAGAAATTTCTTGCTGGAAAGCCAAACTAGATTGGAATATAAAATTGCTGCATACAAAGTTCAAGAAGATCCTTTGTGTTAGACTGCTCAGTTTCTTGTCATTTGATAACTATAAAACTGTAACATTACAATGTATTTTTTTAAAAGTTGAAAAACACTTTTTAAACTTTGAAACTAAATTGGTGTCACTATTTGTAATGGTTCTTGTTATCACTATAATATAGATGTGGCCGGCTGTGATATTTCTTATTAACACTATATAGATGTGGCCGGCTGTGATGGTTCTTGTTGTCCCAGGTCATGCAAGCTTTTTATTTTTTAAGATTAAATTAAGGGGTTAACTTATGTATATAACACTGGAGTCCTTTAAAACAGATCTAAAGACACATCTATTTCGCAAATACCTTCTGGGATGATTGTCTACCTTATTTTCCATGTGTTGCTGTGTTGCTCCGGGTTGAAATGGCTAGAAAGACTTTGATATTGTATGCTTGTAATTAGTTTTTGTAGTGTTGTGTTTGTTTTAAATGTGGTGAATTATAGATATGTTTTTTTGTTGACTTTGTACCGCGCTTCGAGCCTTTGGGGATGAAGCGTGTTTTTTTAAATGAACTTTATTATTATTATATACAATGTAGATTGTGAAAAGAACAATCATCTTCCAGTATTTAGTAAAATCTAGTGAAGGGAATTACCCTTTTTTTTTGCAAGGAGCGAGCTTTCTAAGGATGAAAATAAGCTGAATTCTCATGACAACTTAAAGACACCAAATTGAAATAATGTTCAACCAGTGTATAAATTAGTAATTCAAATAGTTATCATCGCAGAGTTATACTTTTTTTTAAACAAATGAACGGCCTATCATTGAACATCAGCAAACTCCAAGTGCCTTTCTCATCAGCAAATGTCCCACTCACCATGATAGTCTTCTGCATTTGGAAGTCTCACATTATTGATGAAAAAATGTTGCTTCTCATCCTGTAACAACAATGACAAAAAGAATTTGGCTGAATATTTTTATCTTGCACGCAGTGCTAACTTAAAATTTAAATGATAACCGGTGTAATAAAAATAACAGATGACACTTAAAATACATTCAATCAATGGTAGACAGCCAACCAGCATTAAGTTTTTTTAAAAATTAAATGCATAGTTTGAGTAGTTTTATTAAATATTATTTTTTGGCTAAGATGTAAGAAATAGCAAGTTATTGATTTAGTTAATTTATATTTTCAAATGCAGTTCAATAGTGTCAATATGACTCTTGAAAAAAAAAAGTTTTCCACCTCTCCTTCAGGTGATCTATTGATAAAAGCTTAGATTGAGCTTTTGGTAGAAAAAAAAAAATGTATGCAAACCTCATTAATAGGGTAAATGTAATGAACCATTTCACTGATAATTTGCTTCCTCCTAAACAACACCTGAGCATTTTCTTTGACTAGCATCTCCCTAAAATTAAAGAGAAAACAAAAATTCATGTTAAATTATTTTTTTATTACAAATTTTAGCGGACTTTTTGTAGTTTTTTTACCACACAGATTGGTGTTTTCATTTTTTTTTAATAAAAACTAATATTTTTTTACTTGAATACAACATCTAAGCAAAAAAAATGAATTTATTTTAGGATGAAACGGTTCCAACTGCACAGCTTACAATTTAAAAAAATAATAATTACCTTGATTGTATGTGCATGGTCCTCTTTTCTTCTGTGTCTTTTAACAGTTTGAGTAACTGGGTTCTCTTTTCTTTTAAAGCATTCACTTAGGAGAATAAGTAACATGGCAGCTTAAAGACTTTCAACATAAAGAACAACTTTGAGCTGATAAAATTATTGTATCTGTGTAATAATTTTCTTGCTGAGACTCCCAAGACCCCATGCTTTACAAATATATATCATAAATCTAACATGCTGCACAACTCTGTATTTCAAACATGATTCTTACATCTAACAGACTGCTCAACTCTGTATCTCTCTAAATTTTCTTGCTCCAGCTGCTTCTGTTGTGTTTGCCAGAGAAGTTCCTTGCGGAGTTGTCTCACTTTCATAAGTAGCACCTCTCTGGTGGACAACTGAAATCAATCATGTGTCAAATTAATGCACGAGTTTCACATGGCATAACATATATTTATCTGGAACCTAAGCTTTAGACACTGAAAACAAACAGTGTAAAAATTTATAAATATAAAACTTTTATATGAAAAATAGATCTGTAAATGATCAATGACCTTATCTGAGTTCTCATTTGATGACATCAATTTGTCCTCTATATCTGCATGGATGCGCTTCACTGATGCTTCAGTTTGTTTGATGGCTCTTTGTACAGTATGAATTCTGAAATGATTTTTTTTTAAAAAATAATAATGAATCAGAATTAATTAAAATGAGTGACAGTATGTAGTAAAAAAAAAAAACAACAACAACGAACAACTGCATCATCATCTCTATTCCATTTCATTCACAAGAACAGAGTGTCCATACCATACCTGGAGAGGGAGCTGATGTTATAGGAAGGCCTCAGCATGGACTGATCCACCTTCACAACAGCTGGCAAATTGTCAAATGGAACAACTTTGTCTTGTATCTATATTTTCAAGAGACAAGAAATCAACTTCATTCTCAGTTAACTGTTAGTTAATGCAAATGGTTTTATTTGATATACATTTAATTCATCCATGAAGCTGTTAGTAGGATTTCATAGCCTACATGTCATTCTAAAGATTCCATGGAAAAGTATTGGAAAAAAAATCCTTTTAGACTTACATGTTGGTCCAACTGAGCAGTTGAGGAATTTGAATCATAGTGGATGAATATGTTGTTGAACATACCAAAAAGCAACGTGTTAGTAGGATATTTTACTCCTGGGACTTGGAGCTGAGATTATTAAGAATAGATTGAATTTATTAGTGATTTAAGTTTACCATAGCATTTTGAAAATGTATATCCAAGTTGGGCATGTCAAAAAAAGATGTTTATAAAATTTGGATGTATTTATTAAAAACATAAGCATTAAATTTGACAGGTAAAAAAATAAAAAGAACATAATTTGTAAGCTTCTTTTGCTGTTTTAAAAAAGGAAAAAAAAATTTTTTCCTAATGATTACAAATATGCTAATGATGTGTGTGACTTAACACGCCCAGAAAGAAACATATTAAACCTCACTCTCATTTTTTTTTAATGCCCCTGCTATTCTCCAAGGAATAAGTATAAAATAACAAAATATTAACTTTTTTATCTAAAAGAAAAATGCAATAACAAAAAACAAACAAAATAATAATAAAATAAAAAAAAAAAATTCTTTGAAAGACAATAACTTAGTTAAATTTGTAAAACACTGATCCCAAATAGTTTCCCAAATCATGTACTATAGATAAAATGTAATATACCTTGCTGGAAAAGAAGACTAAACCAGTCAGATAGACATGGGCCAATATTGTCACTTTAGATGTTTTATCATATGCAAACCATATCCGCAACACCACAACTGGACACATTGGTTAAGGGGGTAATCACAGTAAGAGATATCAGTTAGAAGGCCTTGCATATAGCATATCATTTCGGAGGTACATTTACAATTCCAAACAAACAAAGCCATTTCAATTTTTTTTTTACACAACAAAAAATCAAATGAAGAATATAACATTTAGTTCTTAAATAATGCAAGTTATAAACTCTTATCAGTTATGAAAATATGAATATAGGCAGACATTACCAACACAACCCATGTTATTATTTATAAATTATAAAGATATTGCACAACTGAAATAGGATACACTTTGCAGTGCCATCAATATCAGCATCACATCTTTGCAAATCAAAGCTCTGCCAAGTAGGATTCTGCAAAGTAAAAGGGATAGAGAATTCTTAAGCAATTGAATAGGAAAGGAAACCAAACATTCTAAACTTCCACAAAAAATATTGTTTGTATCTAACTGCATTCATTGCACATCAACGATCAGACTTGCCATCCAATATTGTGTGCCACAAACTAATAAAATACATTCTTTACTAAATACTTGCAAAAAATAATTAATGAGTAGGAAAGTGTGTCAATGCATAGTAATGAGAGATGTCATCTACATGTCAATTAAATTTTTTAAAAAATAATAATTACATTCATACACACACGAAGCATTTGACTTTATAGAAAAACAGATATGTAATTAGGTTTGCAATGATAAATCAGCAGATATTCAACATAAATTGATAAAATGTGAATAAATTTATTTGCTATCAGTGCAATCCTTCCTGTATCAATGCAAAAAGAATAATTTTTTTGGAAGTATACAAAATAATATGGCTACTTACTAGCGAACCAGTTACTTTTTCACTTGTATAAAATGCTGAAAGTAAGGAAAAATATTAGAAATATTAGCTAGATGAAATAAGAAGACGACCAAAGATTCTATTTTCAAATATTTACCCAGTTTTAAACCCCATTCATTCATAAGCAGACCCAAAAGTTGTATGGGTAAAGGCTGGAAAGTGTATAACCTGCTCATAAGCCAACCTCATAAAATAATACACTGTCATATTAAATTAAGCAATACAGTATAAAAAAACAATGGAGGAAGCATGTGAATTGAAAATTATCGAAATTTGTAAAACTTTATTTTATTTCAAGAAGAAAAAAACAAATCAAAGAAATAATCAAGGTGCCATATATTATAGCATGTAATGTGAAAAAAAATACAACTTTAAGTTAGGGGTTCGCATTAAATGTGGATCTTTAAAAATATATAATTTTATTAGACTAGCACACTGCAGGCCTGTTGCTTTATTCATTATGGTGTATTCTGCACATTCAATTTATTTTATAAAAATCCTGGATCACATCATATACACAATAATAAGTGGTAAGTACAGATACTTGTTAATATATAAAGCTTTTGGTAATGTATTTGAATATTGCAGAGCAAACTATAAACCATTAATATATTAATATGGTAACAATTTGACTTTCAATATAGCTGGAGAAAATTATAAAAATCTCCTATGCCCAGTTAATGAGCCACCTGTTTCAGAACTTGAGGTCAAAAGTATAGTTTTAAAATCTAAACCTACGTCATGTTATTTGGATCCCATCCCCACCCCCCTGTTGATTGAGTCATTAGATCATTTGCTCCCAACGATAACCCACATAATAAATGAAAGCTTGTCTTCTGGCACTGTTCCCCCTCTTTGTAAATCAGCTGTCATCAAACCATTGTTTAAGAAGTCTGGTCTGGATGAAAATAATTAAAAAAATTATAGACCTGTATCTAACTATCATTTTTATCTAAAGTTATTGAAAAGTTTTAGAACAAAAACTTTTTGCTTATTTAATTGACCACTCTCTTCTCAGTTCTAATCAGTCGGCCTATAGACATTTCCACAGCACAGAGACGGCTCTCTTGAGAGTGACCAATGACCTCTTGCTCACATTGGACAGTGGTGACATCTCCATCCTGATCCTCTTAGACCTCAGTGCGGCCTTTGACACTGTTGACCATGTAATCCTTTTCAAAACCCTTGAAAATTACTTTGGAATTTCTGGCTCAGTTTTGGCTTGGTTTAGGTCCTACCTCTCTGATAGAACGCAGGCGGTCTCTGTCGATGGCTGTCTCTCAGGCAGTGCTGATTTGGTGTACGGAGTACCCCAGGGGTCCGTTTTAGGCCCGATTCTATTCACATTGTATACCAGACCACTGCTCCTCTTGCTTGGGAGGCATGCTGTTGAGAGCCAGTCATTTGCAGATGACACGCAGCTGTACAAGCATACCCATCCTTCTCTTGTTGGATCCGCTGTCCAGACTTTGCGGGGGTGCATTGATGATGTCAAGTCATGCATTGATGATGTCAAGTCATGGATGACACTCAGCAAGTTGAAGCTTAATGATGACAAAACGGAAGCACTCCTCATCCACAATAACACATCATCCTCTACCTCAACTCTTCCTACCTCATTTCAAGTAGGAAACTCTGACGTACAGTTTACCCCCTCTGCTAGGAATCTTGGTTATAGTCTTTCTAACATGTCTCTCGATAAACACATATCTCACATTTGTCGTTCAGCATACACCACTATCCGTCAGATCAGCTCCATACGCCACTACCTCACAGTTAGCGCTACAAAACTCTAGTCTGTGCTCTTGTTCTCTCTCGTCTTGACTATTGCAACTCTCTTCTATCAGGTTCACCAAAACACTGCATAGAAAAACTGCAGAAAGTTCAAAACTCAGCTGCTAGGCTAGTTTAAAAGGCAAAAAAAGGTGATCACGTCACTCCACTACTCCATTCCCTTCATTGGCTACCTATACAGGCACGCATCGACTACAAGTTGTCTGTTCTCTGTCACAACTTTTTCTTGGATTCCTGCCCTTCATATCTAACCGAGCTTCTTTCTGTCTATTCACCCCTTCGACAGCTTCGCTCCTCTGCAGACACGCGTATTCTGTCCGTTCCCAAGACACACACTAAAACATATGGTGAACTATCTTTCTCTTTCTGCGCCCCCAAACAATGGAATTCTTTGCCACTAAACATACGCAATATACCAACCACCCAGGCCTTCAAAACTGCACTAAAAACATATCTTTTTAAATTATACTACCCTGACTGATTCCCCTCCTCTGACCGATAAATGATCTTGCTGGCTGCCGTCCATGGTTTGTCTTGTAAAAGTTATGTGGTGGGGTGGGTGAATATACATTGCTGTTCTTTTTTTCATAAATGTATTTTATTTTAATGTCATGATTATGTCTCTTTTGATAAATTTTTTATTTACAGCGCGGTGAGCCCAGCCCTAGGCTGGGGTACCGCGCTATATAAGACGTCTTATTATTATTATTATTATATTAGGAAGGAGTAAAAATATTATTATTATTAACAGTAACAAGCATTAATTGATTTATAAATTCATAACATTCATGATTCAAAGATTAAAACATCTAAATAAGGAGGAATAAAGAATGGTATCAATTTAGTATAATTTTACCTTTTGACTTCTCATCTTTGTGTAATGTAAAATAGACTTGCAATTTACTTAGATCAACATCTTGATTGCTTGGACAGTGCATGTTACGTACCGCAATGCTGTGCAAGTGACGAAGCCTTCTCTAAAACAATAATAATTAAAGTTTAAAAAACTAATTATAAGCTACTTCTAGGTCTAGGTCTTAGGTTGCTAATTATTAATGGAATAATACAAGCTCGGGCCAACTTAAGCTTTAAGGGTCACTTAATATGCCGGTGGTCCAAACCATTGATTATTCAATCAATCTGAACAGCCAGATTTGTAACTTTTAAGACAAGACTTAAAATTAGTTTAAACTGCACCAACAAACAAAGTAGGCCCTACTAGTGTTAGGTGTAACTGTAGGATCACTAATATTCATAGACTTATACAAAGAATAGTCTGATTACTCAACATGGCTAATGTGAAGAGATAGCACCCTGATGTCATTTACATGTTTTGTCCCTGGTTTCCATAGGGCAGGGTCAAAACCCAGGTTAGGGATAAGTTTACAAGGGTTCAGGTTAGGTTTAGAATATAATTTCGCGGGTCACGGCAAACGCGGTGCTATCTCTTCACATTTACCCAAACAGAACTTGTCGATAGTGAAAGTGAGATGCCTATAACTATTATTTAATTGTAGTATTTATAATTTTTTGTCATAGAATTGACAATTCAGTCATCAGTCAGATTTTCAGTTATAATTGTACCTGAAAGGTTTGTAAGTTAAACGGGCTTTTCACCACGGGGAAAAAATCCGAGGACTGCATCTTTTTAAGTTTCTATAGTGTTGCCGATTACTGGACTAAAGACCATACTAGCCATTGGCAAATTTAAGAAGAAACATCATATTTGTACATATAAATTAAGTTTTTGAAGAACGAGGGGCCGAGTTGTAACAGCCGGCCATATTTTGATCACATGACTTCAAACGGTTAGTTAAAAATGATTATTTTTAATGGCAGCGAATATCTTTTTAAAGTATTCTTTAAACAAATATCAATTTACAATACATGTAATTTTTAACAATTTTGTTAAAAATTCAAATTATCTTATAATTATAACAAATATATTTTCCTATTCAAAAACAATAAATTCGTTACTACACTTCCATGGTATAAGTACGTTTCTTTTTTGTATGAACAAAGGGAGGCCAGTAACATCTACTTTCAGTTTCTTTATTATTGCCAATGAAAACTTCATATAATTTGATTATGATAGCGCAGGACATTTCAATATCAATTTAATAAATTTATAAATAAAACAGTAACAGTGCTCTTAGCTCATACTTCATAGGATCTTGATCAGCAGATTTACATCTCGCCCCTAATTATTTTTAAAAGGAGTTATGGCTGGAAACTTTTGGTCAAGTTCTCACTAGTAAGTTTTGTTTGCACACTTGACTCACTTGAGCACTCACTCACCAAGTTTGAAATGACTGCATAATAAACCAGCATTAACTTTGTAGTCTTAGTTTGGTTCATAGTAAATTAATAATTATTAATAGGCTTATAATAATCTCTGACAATTACATTATTGACAGTGTTGCTTTTTTACTATCTATTTCCCTAAGAATTTGAATAATTCTATCTAGGCCAATATTCATAATTAGTAGTATTAAGTATTAAGCCTAATTAATTACATTTAAAATACCAACCTCCTCAGTAAAAATCATTATTGTTATTGTATACTCTGAAAAAATACTGAACTTTTGTGTAAAGTACACATGACATAGATTTCATAAAAACCTGTAGGCCCTATTTTATCTAGCTCATAAACTGTACGCTGTACACACAAAAAATAAAAAACCAAATAAAATTAACATTATATTAATAGCCACTTCGATGAGATCCGGGAATTGCCGAAAACCGGGTATAGTGATTTCGTTATCAAAATGGCGACCTCCACTTTTTAATTTACCGAGAGCCTGGTTGTTTACGATTTTTTTCTTAATTATGGCCCAGCAAGCACATTCTATTTCCGCCCACAACTTTGAGTAGACAGGTTGTTTTATGATTAGACACTTTTGTTCTAAAATATATTTGAGGTCTTAACTTTGAAAATTGAAGGTAAAATAATGCTTATTTTACTCATTCATATTTTTTTTGGAAAGGGTGTCTTTCTTAAATAAAAGGACGACGGGAGATAATAGTATAAATTACAACATACCAAAAATTCAAGAGGTTTGCACCCAGTTCAATGGTCAAAAAATTGTCTTGATGCTTTTATTGAGGGGTATTGACTTGGGTAGTGGGTTAAACTGAATTTATTATTAGCCTCATTATTATTATTATTATTAATATATTAAATATAACATTTTAATATATATACAGGCCTAGAAAAGTATAGTATTTTAAGTATAGGCCTAGCTCCACCCCAACTCATTATTTGTGGGACACATTATTTGTTATTTGTAATGACATTTTAATGAATATTTTGATTCTTAATGCATAGATTAAGCAAAAATGTTAACAAAAAAATAGTCGCTTACCTTTCATATTGAAATATCCTATATTTAATCACATATCACAATATTTCACAAGAGAATTATTAAATAATCCTTGGTATTCTCAAAGAAAAAACATACTTTCTGCCACAATAGTCCAAGAATTACTTAAGATATTATTAATAATATTAAAGAACAATCATAAAAACTTATACTTACCACAAGCAAATGACTAGAACTTATTTTAGTTTGTATAAACCACCAAAGTTGATTCTATCAATGCATGTTAATTTGTGAAACAAGATTACTAACTTGTAAAAAATGACATACTATTTTTTTGTCATATTTAGACATTCATATGATATGGGACTAAAATACATATATAGAAAATGGTAAAATGCTGAGTCGCCTTTGCAACCAGTGAAGCATCCCATTGAAACCCATGCACAGTAACATCGCAAACCCCTCTGAAACATAGGAGCCAGAATGATCAATTCATTGATCGTGGGCCCTCAAAATAAAGAAGAAGAAGAAGAAAAAGTGTAATCGTAAATTTTAACGAAATGAAACAAGTAATCCCTTTATTATTAGTTTATACTTATAAATGTTAAACAATTCCACAGAAAATTTGAAATTTATATCTAAAAAATATTATTATTATTATGATTTTAGGGAAATTAAAAAAAAAATATTGAAAAAAAATTAATTAATTAATTTCAAATAAGTGACGAGTCAGCATATTTATACATGTTTTAAAAGGAAAAAAATCAAGATTTTTTTTAAAATTTTTGCGGAATATTAACAAAAACTAACTTATATTGTATGGCTTTATTTAGAAGTACTCTTATTTAACTATGTTCCCTGTAAATATTATATTTTTGTCTCATTTTATAATAAAGTTATATGCATTAAAAAAAAAAAGCAAATTGAGGGTCACGAAATGTGGAGGAAAATCCCATAGTAAAAAAGTGCCTTTGAGGTCCCTACTAAAAAATTCATAACTTTTGAACCACTTGAGCTAGAAAGTTGATCTTGGTGTTTTTGTAATCTATTCTCCAGGCTCTGTACAGCTGTAGTATTTTTATATTTTTAAAAATGATTTGAAATTTTCATAAAAGTGCTTAATATTAAATAGGCCTGGCCTAGGCATATTTGTGTTTTCAATCAGCTAACTTTTTTTTTTCATACTCATACATAATTAATATTTAACCTTTTTAAAGATGTCTATAGTATTGCTTATATAGACAAACCAACATGTATCATTAACTTTACAGAGTAAAATAATAATAAGGCTTATACTTATAAGGAGAGAGAGACTGCAATCAGGTTAGGTAGAAGGAAATATGTGACATAAGGTATGGGAAAACCTGAGTAAAGGATGAAACAAAATAATGAACATATTAACAAGAAGCCTTCTTCAGTAAACAAACAAAGAGTAACACAAATATAAAAACTTAAAATGAAATGTTGTATCTGATAGGACTGCATTAGTCATTAGTAGGTAAGACGATTAGTAGTAAGTAGGTAAGAGAGTTAATATCGGCAAAGGGGGGAGGAAGAGAGGAAAAGTAATTCCACAATAATTGGTTGTAAAAAAGAGGGTGTAAGGAAATATTTATTGAGTGAAGGAGAACGTGACATTCATGCTATGCAGTGTCAATGTCCCTGACATAAGTGTGTATCATCTCTTTCTCTAAGTTTACTCTGGCGGGTGTGTTGGTACAGGAAACAATGGTAGTAATGGTCGAATCGCTAGAGCCCTTTTGGTTGCTTTTATTGAAGTGTTTTGAAATAGGACATTGTTTATCTTGCACAATATTTCAAAGCTGTTCATTACATCTGTCCAAAAGACGCTGCCCCGTCTTGCCCAGATAAGTGAAAAATCAACATCAGTTTATCAAATTTCAACATTGCTCATGAGCTCAGAAAACTCTTGGTCTGCATTGCTTTTCCAGCTAGCATTTTTTTTTTACAGAAAATCTACATCTCATTTTAAGAAGAAAAAATTTCTAGATCATGTCTAATCTACAGAGGGAATTTCAATTTAAGTAACTTTAATGTCTGACTTGGATGACTTTCGATCATGCTGACTTGGATGACTCTCAATAATGCTGACTTGGATGACTTTCAATAATGTCAACAGCCATCACATTGACTTGATATAGTTCATCAAATTTAGTTAAATGTATACACATAGTGAAATAAATATATTTAAATGTTCTTGACAAGCATGTATTAGATAGTTTATAAGTTATAGGAGCCAGCGTGATCAATACATTGATCATGAGCCCTCAAAATATAGAAGAAGAAGAAGTTTATTAATATCAAAATCTGTAACTTTTTTGCTATGCACTAATAGTAATAACAGAATAAAATTTATTATACTTTTTTTTCAGCCAACAATGGGTTTTGGATCGACAAGATTTATATAGAGAGAGACATAATGATTTAACCATTCTCAGTGAAGATGAATATCAGAAAATAATGATGCTATTTGCCAATGGTTTGTTTTATTTTGATTGTTTTTATTTTGAATGTATTAATAAAAAATATATTTTCTTTAGAGATATCAGTGTTTAATCACTTAAATAATGGAGCAGATTAACACATTTTTTGAAAAGTTTGGTACTATCATTAAAAATATTTTTCATTCATTGTGATATTTACGATATATGATTTACTTTTATACCAAAATTAAAATTATATTAGTTTATTTCTGACAGTTAAAAAGAGATTTAATTATTCAATCTTTCATTCACACTGTAATGTTGATTTTTTTTACTCGCAGTTATTCAAGCCCTTGGTGAACAGTTAAAATTCAGACAGCAAGTTATAGCAACAGCAACTATCTATTTTAAAAGATTTTATGCAAGGTTTGACCAGTTTGTTTGTAAAAGTTTGATAGATTGATTAATGATAAATCTTTAAGTGTTGAAATATATTAAGATTGTTGTAATGCGAAATCAAGATTTTATTGATGTGCAAGATTTTATATTAGCAATTTTATATCTACATTTCTGTGTTTTATTTTTTTAATGTTTGTTTTAAGTCATATGTTTTGAAAAATAAATTACTCTTGTTGTCTTGTTTCAGAAATTCTCTTAAGTGTATTGACCCTTGGCTAATGGCTCCAACATGTGCATTTTTAGCTTCAAAAGTTGAGGTAATACTTACTTATTTGATGGATAAGTTATGGACACACTATATTTGATGAAAAAGTGAACATCAAAATTGCAAAAGCAGCATCAACAATATCAAAATTGAATAAGCAGGTGTGGAATAATCTTAAAATATTTGAAAGTACAAAACTAAGTGTCTATCAAGCATGTGTGCTCAGTATGCCCTATATTGCAGCCAGTCCGCTCTCGCATAGAGTACAAAATTGCAACTTTGTGCTACCGCTGCATACATGACCTGGCACCATCTTATCTCAAAGCACCCATGACGCCTTATGTACCCACTAGAGAGCTCCGCTCATCCGATAGTGTCAAAATATCAATACCGTGTGTTCGCCTTGAGACTTACGGAAAGCGCACTTTTGCATTTGCCGGCCCAACAATTTGGAACACACTTCCAGTCGCTCTCAGAAACAGCCAGACACTGGAGTCCTTTAAAACCGATTTAAAAACACATCTATTTCACAAACATTTTCTGGGGTGATGCTATCTACCATATTTTTCAGTTAATGTATATTGGCTTGTGTTGCTTATGGTTGAAACGGGATGAAAGACTTTGACTTGGTATGCTCGTATGTTGTTTTATATTGTTGCGTCTGTTTTTTAAATGTGGTAAATTTTAGATTGTTTTTATTTCTCTTTATAATGTGGTTGACTTTGTACCGTGCTTCGAGCTTTTGGGGATGAAGCCTGTTTTTCAAATAAACATTATTATTATTATTATTAAGTGTGGACCACATATGCCGGTAATGAGTGGAAACCCAAAGGCTACCACCAAAGATGTCTGCGACACATTTTGCATATTTGATAGCAGAACAAAGTTCAGAACACAGAGGTTTTGGAATTTGCCAAAATGTGTAGCATGTTCTCTGTTCTTAGCAATAAGCTCCTTCACTGGTAAGGCCATGTAATGGGAATGGAGGAAGTTTGTTTTTCAAAGGATCTGCTGTATGGAGAATCGGCAGAGGGGCAAGACTTAAAGGAACCTGAGGGAACATAGAGATCATTGCTGAGCTCCATTCCAGCTGGTGAGCAGCAGTGTATGTTGGAGTGAAACAGGCAGAAGATGCGCGAAGAAAAACCCTTTACAGTAGGCCAAATGTAACCAGGAGTTAAAATTCTCCTGCAAGTAGTGCAGCCGAGACTGCTGTTTGATGAAATGGCCTTTATAAGCCATTTGATGAAGTGTCAATAGCTACTACATCGGCTCGCGAAGATGGAAGGAATGTCATTTATATACATTTAGAAAGTACATTTTTTGTAGTCTGCACTTGGAAATGTTTCCATGCTCCTTAATAGTTCTAATTTTACAGGACACCTCTGAATTTATTATTTCATTCTTCAATTCTGGTCTATCAACTAATAAAATATCTGTTTGATTCCAGGAATATGGTGTGATATCTAACAGTCGCCTGATGACCACCTGTCAAAATATAGGTATTGCGTTTTTTTATGTTGTAAACTTGAATCAGATGAGATTTTTTTTCTTCCTTATTTTAATTTGCTTTTTCTTCTTTTTTTTTTACATATGAAAGTGGTTTACATATTAATGCATTTTTGGATTTTACTAAAATTTTAAAAGGTCCTTTTAAAAGTGTACTCTGAAATGGATTGTTAAATCAAAAATTCTTTTTTTATCAGAAGCAATCAATTTAATAATAATAATAAAGTTCATTTCAAAAACACGCTTCATCCCCAAAGGCTCGAAGCGCGGTACAAAGTCAACAAAAAACAAATCTATAATTTACCACATTTAAAACAAATGCAACACTACAAAAACTAATTACAAGCATACCATGTCATAGTCTTTCTAGCCATTTTAACCATAAGCAACACAGCAATTATGCATTATTCATTTTGATTTCAGTAAAGAACAAATTTAGCCATGCTTTCAATGGTGAATATCCCTACAGAACTCAGCATGTGCTGGAGTGTGAGTTTTATCTTCTAGAAATGATGGTGAGATTTTACATGTTCTTATTACATATAGGATACTTCTGAATAGCATTTAATTGTAATGCATTTAATTTAATTTTGTATTTAAAAACATAATTCATTGAGGCAATAATAGAATTCCCAGAGCCACTCACTCACTATATTAAATTATGAATGGTACTTCATTATGACACGATATATATCTCATTTGATATTTCACAGTTGTTTTTTTATACATTTGAGTTTATTCACTTGCACAGAGATTCTCATTTTTATCGAAACTTGTTAGAGTTTAGAGACAGAAATAACTGCATCCAATCTATTATTTAGCAATTATTATTCTGTATTTTCTATTGACATGTTTTCATCTGTATTTTTTTGTTTTTAAAACTGGATTTTTAAAATTGGAAGTGGTGTGAATAACTTCATCTTCTTGTGTCTGTGGCATAGGATTGCTGCCTGATAATGTATCACCCATACAGACCTTTAGTCAAGTTTTGTGCTGACCTGAATGCAGAGGCAGATCTTCTACCAGTGGCATGGTCAGTTAATTCCCTGTTCACTTTTAAAATTCAACATGATAGTATCTTTGGTTATATGATTATTAATAATGATATAAAAGCATCTTTATTTCACTCATGACATGTTATGCATTCTGGTATTTTTCTTTTTGTATTTTCCACATACAAATGTAATTTGAAATATTAATGTAATATAAATGATGTTCAGGAAAATGATAAATGACTGTCTAAGGACAGATGCACCCCTGTTGTACCCACCATACCTCATAGCATTATGTAAGTACTGAAAGTCTTTGTTCCTTTTGTGTTTGTAATAATTTTTATTTTATTTTACTGTTGATGATAAGAAATAATAAAAAAAAATTAACAGTGAATTAGATTATCAAAATATATTTAAAAAATAACTATGAAAATGTGTTAATATCGTTTATAATACAAGCTGATGATTGGCTGTTGATGCTAAAATATATATTTTTATATATATCTCCCATATATTTCCCAGCCTGTTTGCATATGGCAAGCATACTTAAACAGAAGGATATCAAAGGCTGGTGTGCCGACCTCAATGTAGATAATGACAAGGTAATTATTATAAGACATCAGCGTAGAGAATGACAAGATAGGTATAAATGCCTCAATGTAAATATTTACAAGAAAAGTAAAAAGTCCTCTATGTAGATAATGGCAAGGTAAGTCTATAGACCTAAATGCAGATTTTGACAAGGTAAGTCTACAGACCAGTGTTTCCCAACCTTTTTTGTGCCATGCCCCACCTAAACCTTTATAAAATGTTTATGCCCCCCATTTATCATATACATAATTTTTAATATTCCATAAATCTTTTCAGGGAATTCCCTTAAAAGTCTCACATAATCTGCATTTTATTCTTCACACAATAGCTTGAAGGGACGTTCATTAGCTTTAAAAGCATTGAAACACTAAAAAAGACTTTATAACTGAATTTAATACTGCATTTAGAACAGGTGAAATGTTTTTAGCTACTAAGTTTTCCCTATGAATAACACAATACACTTGTAGCATTTCTGGATTCTCATCTTTCATCAATTTTAAGCAACCATTTTTCTTGCCCATCATATTAGGAGCACCATCTGCAGCACATATTGACATAATCCATGTAATTGTTTAGCTTATAATTTATGTTGACACTTTAACGATTCTCCTTTAAAAATAAAAGTTTAAAAATAGTAGACAGTGGTTTTCAAATTCTAGACAGCTCATTATCGAATTGCCCCCACCTAAACAATCAAATGGCCCCCTGTTGGGCGTGGCCCCACGTTGGGAAACACTGCTATAGACCTTAGTTTAGATATTGATACAGTACAAGAACCTCATTGTAGACACCTATGTACGGATGTGGTCCTAATAATGGGAAAAGGTTTGCTTCTTTTGGTTAGCACATCAGGAGACAATGACAAAAGGAGGAGTTTCAAATATTTTAAGGTCACAATGTGGCTAATGTGTTGGTAACTTTTAGTCACATAAATGAGTTCTTTTCGTTTCCTTCAAATATGCAATTTATAATGTTAGATTTTATAAAAACTTCCTACGAACTATTTTATGTATTTTTTGAGGTGAAAATTTCCTCAAATACAAACTGTTATTTGCTGAAAATGCTTTTCAGTGCATGGAAATCACCCGTACAATGGTATCTCTGTATGAACTGTGGAAAACCTACGATGAAAAGAAAGAAATACAAGCTATCCTTGCCAAAATGCCCAGACCAAGTCCTTCAAGGTCAATTTTTATCTTTATTAGCTTTTTAAATTTTTACGAATTAAAAAAAACTTCAGAATTAATTATTCTAAAATTATTATATATGCCATAATAAATACCATTGTTTTAGTTTGAAACATTAACGTCAACTCTTGTATACTGGTTAAATTTTCTAAGAAAGCTAAAAATTTGTAAGATGAGATGCTCCAGAAGATATTTTTGTATTTCAGTTAGGTTCTGTCATTTAATTTTAAAAAGTTCTTTATTTATTGTAAAAATATAATTTACTTCACTTTGTTTCTTTAAAATTTATTTTCATTTAACAAAAAAACGTCCATTTTAGGCACAGGCCTATTAAATAACTAATCTTAGTACCGGATTTGGTACAGTCTAGTATTTGTGATAACTTTTTATAAACATTTTTTATTATTCAAACAGTTTTTTTAAGGCAAACCATTTAAAGATTCTCTGATTGATCCCCTTTTGTCTTGGAAGGCCACACAATTCATTTAAATTTAAATCAAGCTGTAAACGGCTGTCTTCTTTTCTACAAAAAAGTAATTTTTTCTATCTTTCCCCCAGACCTCCCTCTGAAGCTACTAACCTGCAGGACAACAACTCACAGCAACAGCAACAGAATCAACAGCAGCAGATGTCCTCTGGTGTTTCATAACAGTACAAAATTTCTAAGAATAAACATGTGAAATTGGGTTCTTCGTCTTCTTACTTTTATTTATACAAAATTTGTTAAAGCATTTTTGTAAAGATAAAAATATAGTTTCCGCCTTGTAAAGATCATCAAGTACCATTTAAACAAAGAAAAACTTTTGGGTTGATGAGGTTAACCTAGATCTCTAATGCATCAATTTCATTTTTGGTGTCAAAATGACACATTTATTTATAATTATAGGGTTATAATTTAATAATGAAGTGTGATAACCAATACTGAAAAGGGAAATTTTTCTATGCTAGCATTGAATGGCACAAATTTATTTTATTTTTAAATATGAGCGGAAAAAAATAAATTTGCATCTCATTCTCTTTGTTTAAAAGTTTTACGCAAGTTCTGATTAATGTTGTCTTATAAGTCTGTATCAGATAGAATGCTGAACAATGTAACATTTTATTGATCTTGGCATAAACGAAATCTATCTTGTCTTTGATTTAATTTTTAAAAATACTTGTAGAGCTAAAATTTGATTCACTGCTTAGTTCAAAAGAACAAAGAGATGAATATTTTGTCTATGAAAAGTTACACTCATGTCCAAGATTAAATACAAGTTTTCACATCAAAACCATAGTTATTTATTGTTATTTGTTATGTTTTTAAAAAAAATTAACAAAAGCTTTATTGATATGTGTATCTGTATTTATTCACTCAACAGGTCCTTAATTATCAACATTTTTAAAACCCTAAATAAAAATTGTTATTATATCCATGGGACATGATAATTATATTTCATAAATAATACTCCATTTTGAAGTCAAAGATTTGGCTTTCTTTAGATCACCCAATTAATCAATTTAACATATTTTTAAAGAGGAAATAAACAATGGAAGACCCTAGAATCTTTGAGTTGATCACATCCTAATTGTTGCATACAAAGAGAAAACTGCAAAAGGCAACAATTTCATTAAAGAACAAAAACAAACAACTCAATTTTAAAAATTTCAACATTAAAACAAAAGTAACATTGTCCAGGGGGCAGCTCCACATTCCACTTAAAGAAAAATTTAGAGAACATGTCAGACTGAATTTTTTAAAAATGAATAATAACATGATATTTGTAAAATGTATGTTTTAGAGTTAAAACATAAGAATTTAGCATTTGTTTTTCATTTGAAAAAGAAGACTACAAATTATTTATCAACTCACAACTAATATGAATCATGAAATACAATGTAACTGCTGCCAGAAAGATTGTTTGGACCCAAAAAATATCAAATGTGACCTTAGTTCTAAATGTTCTAAATGTAATTGGAGCCCAAACTTTAGTCTAGTTTCAGAGTAACTTATTTTGTTTTAATTCTCTTGGTAAACTTCATAGGGATAGTTATACTATAAGTTATACAAAAACATATACCAAAACAGGTGAAATATGCTGCCGTATTGATGTAAAAATCACAATTTTGTTGATCTTGACTCAATATTGTAACAGCATGAAATATGACTACATATTTGACTAAACTGCCATAATTAGGTGAAGTTAAATTGAATCTTCCCACTTCTGCGCTAGACAGCAGAATTATTTAAGAACTGGTTTGGCTGTTTCAAGAGCCACATTTCTACGAACAGTATCATAGCAATTTACTTCATTTGGCAGTTTGATACAACATGGCCATACAATTCTTTAATAATGAGATAATAAATCTGAACCCTGAGTGTTTATGAAAAAGTAATTTGGAAAACCAATTATACTTTAGATCTACGTTCACATATCATTAGAAGGTGAAATTTTTAAAAATAAATTAACTCACTATACATTTTGTGTGTATAAAATATCTCTCTATATATATAATCAAATTTAGACACAAATACTGAAATAAGTGATATAATTTTATTTATTCTCATTGCTGAAACAAAGTGTGTTGTCATATATATGAGACTAAATAAAATTGTATCAATTATTTCAGTATTTGTGTATAACTTTCATTAGACCCATAACTATAATTTAGTGTATCACAAGTAACTTTGGCACAATGAGAAATAAATTTACACCAATGGGCATCTCATGACAAGCATGTTCTAGACGCAATCATCATTTCATACGGTCAAATGTGTGCAAAGCCAAGCTTCAAGATAAACAAATCTTTCAGATCTGTATAATTAATTCTTGCTAAGTAAAACTCAGCAGAAAAAGCCTGGCATACATAATTTACACATCAGTTACAAGGGGGGAAAAAAAACAGGGAGTGTGACTTATTATTTCAATAAAAGTTAAACATTAAATATGTTTGGAGTGCAAGGAGAATAAAGGGGGGGGGAGAGAAAGAAGATCATTTCCATCTACTGAACTTGCTGCCTCAAAAGGTGAGCGAAATCATTAGCATCAATGGTTATCCTATCTCCCAAGACTCTCATATCGCTCCCATCAATGGTCATTATGTCACTTGTTCCTCGTAAATGATGGGCTGGAGCATCATGGGAGCTTGCCAGCTCATAGAGGACGCCATCAATTTCAAACTGGCTGGCCATGCCTAATAGCTCCTGATTTCTATTCACCTAAAGGGAGATTAATTTATTTGCATCATCAGTATGTGTTCGAGAAATAAATTACCAGTTAAAAGCATTATGTCAAAAATTGATATGTCACATCTGTCGGTTAATTTACAAATTGATTATATGAAAAAACCTCAATAAATAAATAGGGATACATTATCAGAAGATGTAAAATAATGTATAGAACTTTAATGTGAGGTCTGCACAGAAGTCAAAGGAAATTTCTAACATTTAATAATATATGAGAAATTTTTGTGCTTGATGGGGCAATGAAAAATTTCTTTTGACACAGGTGCATTATACCTGGCACCAATGTTCCCTCTAAGGTTTGTTGGTTCGTGGGCAAAATTATACAGTTGTGTGCAAAGTTTTACAGCATCAATTTTTTTGTGTGCAAAATTTACAACCCACAAACAAAAACACACACTTACATGGAAATTTGCAGTGCGGTACTCAAAACTGCTGCGCGGCGTCTGTGAGATAGCTGGTTGCGCAGCTTAAAGGGAACATTGCCTGGCACCATTTTTTTCTTTGTCAAGAACTGTTTTAGGCACATTGCAGAAATAAGCTTTTATTTGTCTGTGTTTGATCAACAAATATAATTGGCTGAATTGTGTCGGCTGAAAAAAACTTGAAAAACACAATTGGCACACCTCTCTGTACATATCTGTGTCAATTTCAGCAGCCCCTAGAAGACTTGATATGTGGGAATGGTTTACTTGAAGCTGGCAATGTAAAAATATACCCTGACTTTTAAGTGGACTGAATCTACTGTCAGTTGTAAAGCTAGCAACTAAAGAATCTTACCTTTCCTCGAGCATTTGTAATTTCATCAATGCTGACATCAGCCACCACATCAGCTCCAACTGCAATGCTGTCATTGGACAGCGTCTCCAGATAATCTACAGCCTGAAGATTGAATTCTTCACCTGCCTCACCCAGCAGTTGGACGTCCTCCATTGATGAGCAGTTGCCAAACATTTCACCTAAAGAAATCAACGGAACACAATTGTTAAACCATGTGACAACATTTACAGAAAACACTGAAGTAGGTGCATCAACATTTTTAACCAAGACCTGTTTTTGTCATGATCCTATGGTATTGCCAAGCCTCATTATCAGGCCATCTCAAAACCTTTTGTATTAGGTAGATTCTATTGAGCTAAAAGCTGGCAGAAAGATAAATAAACATGCTTCACTAATGTTTGACTAACCTGTGTTAACCACTTGATTTCTCTCATTCAAATACACAATAGTTTCTGATTCTCTATCCTCCAACTCTTGAAGGTACCGACCAGCTTCTGGGAACAAATGCCAAACAAGAGAGTAATTTTGACAGCTCAGATTTTTAAAATCTACTAAGCTTTACATTATAATCCAGATATTTAAACGGTTCCAGGTGTGGATGATATACATGGAGGTTTGATGACGAATATGTACATGGAGACAGGTGCTAAAATCAAATAAAGCACTGTGGACTGATGATAATTAACGAGTTAAATTTTTTAAAGGTAGGATCAATAAATGACCTTGGGATAAATAAATGTTATTAAGATCAATAATGACATTCAGATTATTATTGACACGAGGTCATATAACATTAGGATCAGGACCATTTACGATCATTAATGACATTAGGGACAGTTTCTAACATCATCAACAATTAGCGACATGGTCATTAATTGTCATGGACTAAAACGTATTTATATAAGATATTACGCCCTGCCTGAGAGAAACCACATTTATAATGTTACTGTAATATTTGAAGAGAGCTGTATAGATTGAACTCACCTTGGGTTTCCAGTATGTCCTGATGATCAATGATATGCCTCCTGACATGTCTTCCTCTAGGTCCCCTAGCCACAAAACTATCACCATGAGAATATAGGTCCTCACTGCCATCCTCCAAAACAGGATCCCTGTTGCTAAAATGGCCGTGTAAATAACCGACTTCGTCGCCCTCGTGAACCTCGACCCCGTGAGCCCCAGACATGTGCATTTTCATGACAATATCACTGACAAATGACTGCATGCACAGGTGGCACTGTGAAGGGAGCAAACGGTCCCTGTGGGAGTTGATCACATGGACAGCTAAATCATACGTGCGCATGAAAGACACGGTGCAGAATGGACAGCAGTAGGTGGTGCTGTTGGAGCCCATTAAGTTGTCCTTGGCTATGTGTGGTGGCATCAGGTGGACCTTCCTGTTGTGATCGGACAACATACGACTGGACGGAAAACTGGCCTGGCACTCGGGGCAGATGTGAGCCTCTGTCTGGAGGTGCTGACTGCGGACGTGGTTGTACATTGGATGAAGGCTCTGATATCCTGTCACATGGTGGGTTTCAATGGTTAGACATGTCATGATGAATGGTGAGAGTTTAATAATACAGGACAGATCAACAATTTAGCATTTTGAAAGTTAGATGGTTAAAATTTCATCAATAAATGGATTTACTAAAAAACCCAGGACTGAGTCCATGTTTAATATTACAATATTTAATTTTTAATGGCTTAGCATTCTTTGATCATATGGTGACTTTAAGGAAAAATTCATGAAGTAATTTTTAAACAAGATTGATAAAAGAATTCCAATTTGATATGCTTAAAATGATATTTTAAGCTTTCAAGTGGTATAAAAATTATAACAAAATTTTTTTAAGAACCTAGATTCCAGACAAACTTCAGCAGGGGACCTCCTCAAACGTCTATAGAATTTACATGAAGGCTATTAAAAATGGCCACTTAAAGGCGGCCTAGAAGACTGCAGGTGACTCTGAGAACGTAACAGTCAAACACATCCACTCACCTGCCCCACAGAACGGGCAATGTACGGGCACGGCTCCATTGTGTAGAGTCACCCTGTGCACTGAGGCTAGTTCCATGTTGGGGAGCCATGCTGGGCAGAAGGGGCACTTGAGCTCTCCGTTATGGGTCTGTTCATGAGCTTTCTTCAAGTGCTTGTGAAGAGCAGGGCCAGACTCAAAGACTTTGTCACACAGCCGGCAAATATTGAACTGATTCAACTCAGGGTGGACCTTCAAGGTGTGACTGAGTAGAGCCGCACGATCACTGAACATTATGTTGCATCTGTTTAGAGATATTTTGTTCATTACAACCAAGCAGCAGAAGCATTGGGCCCTGATAATTTAAGTTTATATTTTCCAGGCTAAATATTTCCAAACATTTCTAAATTTTACATACATGAATGAAATATTTATTAAACCTAATTAAAAGAAAATATGCTCCACAGCTTTTTAAAGAAATATGTGTCTAGAAAAACAAAAATGACTGCAGTCTTTCAAAATTGGCTTTAAAAATCGCATTGGCTGCAAACTACAAACATACTTTAGACACCATGGGTAAGTTTGTCTCTAAATTCATTAGGCAAAAAAGACACACTAATTAGAAAGTTGTGGAAGATCCATCAAAATGGTTTCTGACATTTATTCTCTTAAATTATTTCAACTTTTTCAACTAACACTAAATCACAGAGAAATCATTCTTAAAAATGGTAGCTGATCTGACAGAGTTAATTTCCATACCTACTACATGACAACAAAGATCTTTCCGTCCTCAACATCTGTTGTGGGGGTGAAAGAAGACTTACTAGGCCTGGGTAGAGCTAAAGACAAAAGAAAGAAAAAAAGCTAGTAAAATTGATGAACAAATACAAAAGTTCTTTTGTTACCATTAAACTGCTAATGAAAACCATCTGTAAAAGTTCAACACATGGAAGCCACTATTATCATAGAGTTAATATCTTGGATGTTCTTTATGTCATCGCTGAGCACCTTTCCAGTTGGCAGACAGTCGTGTATGCAGGAGTGTATGCAAGATGCGCGAAAAGAAGCCTGTGCAACAAAAAGAGCATTATGGAGGCCAAATTTAACAGGGATTCAAGGTTCTCGTGCGAGAAATGCAGCCGAGACTGAAATTTCAGGATTGGCTTAGTAAGCCATTTGATGTAGTGTTCATATCTACTCCATATGTACATATTCTTTTAAATTCTATTTTATTTAATTCAAATCACACTCTGCCAATTTTCTCAAAGCAAATAGAATGGTTTACCACATTTCAATTAACTACCTATTACCTTCCTCTAGTAACTTAGGGAAAAGCTGATTTGCTTAGTGCTGTATTTTACAGTCAATGAGGGAAAAGCTGATTTGTTTAGTGCTGTATTTTATAGTCATTGAGGGAAAAGCTGATTTGTTTAGTGCTGTATTTTACAGTCATTGAGGGAAAAGCTGATTTGCTTGGTGCAGTATTTTACAGTCACTGAGAGAAGTGCTGATTAGCCTGGTGCAGTGTTTTACAGTCACTGAGGGAAAAGCTGATTTGCTTGGGGCAACATTTTAACCTATCATGAAGACTAGATTGCTCCTGACAACAAGCCTCATATATCACTTGTCTACAACTCAATACCTCTCTGAGGTCCAATTCAATTTCACCAAAGCTTAATTATGTTGACTACCATCCCAATTGAATATGTTGTTTGGGGCTAGGTGATGTTATTAACCACACTGACATTGGAAGGGTTAATAATTCTTTAAAAACTAAACGTTTTAAGATAGGAGCTCACCCTTCGAAGAGCATCATTCAGGATAGGACGACGAAATGAATCTCCAACAAATGAGGTAAATCCCAATAAGAGCTAATGAAAAATAAACCCAGGAGTACCGTAGACACTCGTTTTTAGGCAGAACTTTTTTTTTGTTTAAATATTTCAGAGGAATAAGTGGGGTGGTCAGCTTATGAGCAGGTCAACTGAGATATTTAAATTCTTCAGGCACATTGAAATATGAAATTGTTATTGTTATAGGCCAAGGTCTTAGTCTACAGCAAGTGTTACAAGATTCAAATACAGTGCCAGAAGCATAAAAAATAGTGAAAAAAATATACTTCAAGAGGACAGCAACCACCAATTGCCAAACCTAATGATGAGTATATAATAAAAGTGTATTACAAGGTTGAACTTCTTATGTCATCCTAGGTATTCTTTGGAACCACATAGCTTTTACCCAGGCATTATTATTTTGTGGAGTAGGCTTCTAAGCGGGTTATGCATTTTTGAGCCTTATCCTGACCAAAACAAGTGGGGTCGCCTGTGAATGAAAGAAGGGCTTTGGGACGAGTATCTATGGTAAGATAAATAATTTCCATCATTAATGAATAAACTCACATTATGAGAGAGATCCACATGCAGCTCCAGCTCCTGCTTGTCTAAAAACTCAGCATGACAAAACCTGCAAGCCTCCACATGATGCTCAATCCCATGGTGCTGTCGCAGATGGCGCCTGAGCTTGGTAGGGGTGGCAAAGTAAAGGGGTGGGTCGCAGCAGACCGGGCAGACCAAACGACTTCGAGCACGCAGCTCCTCCAGGTAGACAGCATCCCTAGATTCACAAGTGGCGTGATGGGCACGGACATGTGTGAAGAGGACATAGTCATTAGGAAACAGACGTAAGCATACACGACAGCATCGAAGGCTGGGTCTGGGGTAGGCATCAACCGTGGCTTCGTTTTCAATAGGTATGATTTCCTTACAGTTCATTTCATCTTTATCTATAAATTCTATGCCTGAAACATTTATAAAAAAAATTAACTTCAATATTATTTTTCAAAACATATTTCATAAATATCTATCAGCAATAGAATTTTAACTCTAATTTTTTTTTATATCAATTTTATTCTGTTTGGTGAATAGTTAAACAAAAATTAGTTGAATTTTAATTTTTGTCTGCAGTTAACATGAAAACTCATGATTTAAAAAAAAAGTTCCTAGGGTAATTATTTTTGTTAAATAAAAAATTTAAAAAATGACTACTGTATACTTCATGAAACTATTCAGATATTTAAAAAAAAACTTTCTCCTGCTTAAAAGACATATACCGTATTTATTGGCGTATAACACACACCTCATTTTAAGAAGGAAATTTCAGGAAAAAGAACTTAACATTATATCGGCGTATAACACGCACACATTATTTGCCCCTTATTTTCAGGGAGAAAAGGTGCGTGTTATACGCCGATAAATACAATAATAGATTTATTCTTTTCTTTGCTTAAAAAGCTGAATTTCTCGTTTTAAGACTACAGGTATAAAATAAAGTGCAATTGAGTGAGTGCTATGTTCTGATGAAAGCAAAATGAAATAACTCACAGAATAGGGGAAAAACTTGAAAGATCACAAAACAAATAAATTGATATCAAATAGAAAATAACATTTTGTTAAAGCTGAAGAATGAGTTTCACCATTGGCTCTGTTAAAATTTGTCGACTCTACAGGATTGTCATCTATGGTAATAGTTGAATTACAATGTAAGAAGTTGAATGGTTCCTCCTCACAGTTGGCAACTTCAGACACTTTATCGAAGAAGATCAATAATATGAATAAACAAAGATGACATAATTACTCACGAACAAAGACCATGCTTTGATTTATAGAGAAAATAAAATGTTCAGATAAAATATAGCGCATCTATTCTGCTGCCATAGATAAAATTCATTATTGTTCATTTATAGCCCCCAAAATAAATAATTAAATCATCCAAATCCCAAGTTATAAACTCAAGTTTAGATTAGCCAGGTAAGGAATAGTCATTTCAAAATAACTAGAATCAAACCTATATACAGCTTAAGTACCTAGAATCAAATCTATAAACAGCTTGGTCAACTAGAATCCTATCTGTCTACAGCTTGAGTAATAAGAATCCTGTGTGTGTACCGCTTGTGCAACAAGAATTATATATATAAATTTTCAATATGGAGTAGTGGAGTAGCTAGTATTAGTGCTGATAATATAAATGTATATCTATATATATATATGTTGTTGTTCGTCCATCAAAGATCGACTAGGACCATCGAGTCCTCCGGTGTTGGATGACTAATGACTTGCCCAGGTGACTTTTGTTTAAAGTGAGGAAGAGTTGCGCGGCGTCAACCTCACTCTCTCGTCCGGGCCCACCATGTCCAGTGGCACGACTATGTCAAGACGACCAGGGATGGGTACGGATGCAGGAGTTGTCGGATTGTTTCATCGTATACGCCTCCATCTCTGGGTTTGAATTCAGAGTTTCCTTCTCTTAGATGAGTTGCTGACCAAGGTTAACGAGTCCCATCCACCCATATATANTATATATATATATACATACACACACACTATGAATAACTATAATCCAGTCTGTGTACAGTTTAAGTAATAAGAGTGAAATCTGGATAACAGTTCAAACACTGAAACAGTAATAAATGTTTTTTTCCGTGCGTCCTGGTAAAACAGATTAAACTCAGAATGGACAGACCTCTACAAATGGCTGAACAAATTATTGACCTGCCAATCTTAAAAGTCTCTTTTGTTCCATCTTACCTAAACATCTTACTTTTGGATCCTGCAACAACATCAAACAAAAATTACATTAATTCTTTTTTTTTTAAAGGATGACTTGAATTTAAAGTTTAAAAAAAAATGATTGTTAAAAATAGGTGTCAAATGTGTATCTGAATTACTTCTTTTCTTACTTGATTGAAAATAAACAGAAACATTTATAACACAAGAATGCCTAACCTCAATGGTATGGACCTATTCATGACACATGTATGATTATGTGTAATTAAATAATACCAATATCTATTCACTATTATTTCCAGACAGAACAGTTGAATAATTTGAGGTTGGGATCCAAGGTGTTAATAGTGGTGAAGTTTAGTAATTAAAACATTTATTTTTTTTAATATATAAATTTTTTTAAGTGTTAAGATTTATCAAAAGATAGTTACAGTTTCTAGAAAAAGAATGGTGGTCTTATTTTACTTAGAGAATGAAATTGCATCAGTAACATTCCATTTGATATTCAGTTGATTCAACCCACTCTATTGCACATGAAGTTAACAAAAAATTAGTTTGAAGGTAATGAAATCTAACAAGTCAGCCTGATAATGATAATTAATCTCTATGCAATCTATGTCAGTGTTATGGGATGTGGGAAAAAATGAACATAAATAAAAACTGAACTTACCTATAGTCGTGAAATGGGGAAAACTGGACAGAAGTGAGTGCTGTTTTTCTTAGGCTATGCATACATGACATAAAATGAGGCAACTCACTTCTTGGTTCTTGACCTTTGGCCTTGGTAGAAACTCTGTTCCCCCGGGTGGGATGAGGACTTCCATGACAACATCTCCAATGGCTGACAGAGGGAATAGGACTTGGCTGTAGTCACCAGTTTGCTTGGACTCTTGCACTGGCAAAAAATACAAAGTCATTAGTTTTAAGTCATGGTAGATGATTTTTTAAAAAAACAACTACAAAAAAAAAACGATGATTTGTTGTGAGACACACCTAAAATAAGGTTAAAATAAATCTAGCGAGAACATTTATTTTTCAAACGGTATCTACCTTAAACCTAAATTTAAACTTATAAAAACATCCATCCATCCCTCCATCCCTGTGGCGCTACAGCCCATGTAGGGCTTTGGCCTGCCTCACTACTTCCTTCCACTCAGACCTAACTAATGCCTTTCTTTTCCATGCTTGTACTTTCAGCTGCTGTAGATCTTTTTCTACATCATCTATCCACCTAAGCCTAGGTCTGCCTTTGAGCCTTTTTCCTCTGGGGTATTGGTGATGTACCCTCTTCGTTCCTCTGTCATTTGGCATTCTCTCTAGGTGTCCTGCCCAGCGTAGCCTGCCTCTTTTAATTTCTGCCACTATCGTAGGATCCTGATATAGACTGTATAATTCCTGGTTGGTTCGTATTCTCCATCCATATTCATCCTTTGTTGGCCCATATATTTTCCTGAGTACTTTCCTCTCCCATGTGTTTAATAGGTTTTCTGCTGTTTTTGTTAGGGTCCAAGTTTCACTTGCATATGTTACAACTGGTCTGATCACAGTTTTATAAATAGTTTTCTTTGTTTCTCTTGTAATGTTTTTACTTTTGAGTATTTTCTGACTACTGAAGTATGCCCTGTTTCCGGCTGATATTCTTTCTTTTATTTCTGTTAGTAATTAGTTTCTTTCATTTAACAAGGATCCTAGGTATTTGAATTGATTTACTTTTTCAAAAGTTTGGTTTCTAATTTTAATTGTTTCATCTGTTTGTTCCTCTCTTATCATGGTCATGTATTTTGTTTTTTGGTTGTTAACTTCCAGCCCTGCTTGTAAAGATGCATCTTCTAATTCAATAAAGGATTTTGATATGTCTTTTATACTTTTCCTTAGAAGTGCTATGTCATCAGCATATGCAAGATACTGAAGTGGTTGGTTGTAGAGTGTGCCCGTTGGTTGTGGGTCTTGAGTTTCCCTCAGAAAGTATCCTGTTATCGTTCCTCGAGTGTCAATGTGTATGTTTCTAATAACTCTCTCCAATGTTAGGTTAAAGAGCATACAAGACAGTGAGTCTCCCTGTCTTAGGCCTCGTCTAATATGAAATTCCCTTGAATATTCTCCTTGAATCTTGATTTTGCTTTTTGAGTTGTTTAGTGTTACATGTATTAGCCTTGTCAGTTTGTTGGGTATCCCAAACTCCTGTAGAGTCTCATATAAATAGTTTCTTTTGATGCTGTCATAGGCCATTTTATAGTCGACATAGAGTTGATGTACTGGTATATTAAATTCATAGCATTTCTCTAACAGGCATCTGATGGTGAAAATCTGATCAGTCGTTGATCTGTTAGGCCTGAATCCGCATTGGTAATCACCTAGTATTTCTTCAGTGTAAGGTTGTAGTCTTTTGGCAATAAGTTTCGTCAGTATTTTGTATGTAACATTTAATAGGGAGATTCCTCTGTAGTTTGTGCTTATAAAAACATAAATGACACAAAAAGTAAATCCTCTCCCATTAATGAAGTTTGAGAAGTAGTTTATTAATCCTGTTTAAATTGCATTACCAGTAGATGTTTCACAAAATATAGGTTAAGGACTCTTAAATGGAAGGTGTTCTTGCTGCATGGAGTGCATTATTTATCATGTATTTTCAATTTAATGATTAAAAACAGTACCCAAAAAAAAAACTAGGCTTGTGTTACTGAGGGGTACATTCATAAATTCAGAGCCAAAGGTGACCTACCCATTTCCTCTCTTTTGGCAACAAGCTCGGCTCTATGTAGTGCTGATGTCTCAATTTGACTCAGATTGTATACAACAGGCATCCCATCCTGAAACGGATATACAGTGGAAAATCATTTGGTGGTGACCGTCTAAATTAGAATACATACTTTGAACGCCATCACATTTTTAGTCAGTAAGAGCTCATTCAGACACATTTGGGAACAAAACTATTTCATGGAAAAAAACATGAGTTATGGCTCACTTGTGTGAAATAAAATTTAATAAGATATTATAATGTAAAGATACCCGCACAAAATATAGTGATACTCATGGCTGCAAGTTGTACAGGGCTAGTTTCCCCTTCTTGAAGTTGCCAGACAAAAAAAAAATCAGTTTTACACAGAAAGATTGTGCATAAGTTGTCACACACAGGCATACTTATGCACAGAGGTTTTCCCACGCAGGATCTGCTGAGCACATCAGCTAAAGATGGGCACTGTACGAAATGCTTGCCAGACTCAGATTGGTCTTACGAAAGGTGGTGGTGTTATTTCATAGCCTTCAAAAAATATTTAGACACGTCCGACTAGCCCTCCCATGCACACTTGTACGCTTCCAAATCAACACCATCCCCCTTTCCCCCTCTCAGTGCTTACGTAATATATTAATATAATATAATAATTATATACTGTTTCAATCCAATCGTATTTCTCTGTCCATTCAACGCCAGATAGAGAAGAGCTAAAGCTAAAAAGGTAAAGGAGTTGTTTTCTTCATTTATTAATTTTTTAAAATCCTAAAAACCATCGGAATAAATTTTAAAACCTGGTCTTGTAAAATTGCAGTTCTGACAAGTCTTAGTGTACAATCATAAAAGACATCTCAAAATCATACATTGTGCAAAAAATCGTAAGAGTACACAGGTCTGGCTTTAAGTTTAATACCTAAAGAAAAACTTTCTTAACTCGACAAAACATGAATGCCTAGCCTAACTGTGACAATGTTGGTCTAAAAAATATTGATGCTGCCTAAAATTTACCTCATTGTTGTGCATAGGAGCTTGTGATGGACTTGGCAAATCTTTCACACGTCTGAGCATATTGTCTCCCTTGATGGTTACAACATAGTTATCCTCTCTTTCTCTAATGTCCTCCACCCTAAAATCATCAAAATATGTAATCAGGGAATAATTGCAAACATTTATCTTGAGTGGGCTGCATCAAGAAATGATTAAGATCTAAAATAGAGCTTGGGCTGCATCATGAAAAGATCAAGATCTAAAAAAGAGCTTGGGCTGCATCAAGAAATGATTAAGATTTAAAATAGAGCTTGGGCTGCATCATGAAAAGATCAAGATCTAAAAAAGAGCTTGGGCTGCATCAAGAAATGATTAAGATCTAAAATAGAGCTTGGGCTGCATCATGAAAAGATCAAGATCTAAAAAAGAGCTTGGGCTGCATCATGAAAAGATCAAGATCTAAAATAGAGCTTGGGCTGCATCATGAAAAGATCAAGATCTAAAATAGAGCTTGGGCTGCATCATGAAAAGATTAAGATCTAAAATAGAGCTTGGGCTGCATCATGAAAAGATTAAGATCTAAAAAAGAGCTTGGGCTGCATCATGAAAAGATTAAGATCCAAAATAGAGCTTGGGCTGCATCATGAAAAGATTAAGATCTAAAAAAGAGCTTGGGCTGCATCATGAAAAGATCAAGATCTAAAATAGAGCTTGGGCTGCATCATGAAAAGATTAAGATCTAAAATAGAGCTTGGGCTGCATCATGAAAAGATTAAGATCTAAAATAGAGCTTGGGCTGCATCATGAAAAGATTAAGATCCAAAATAAAGCTTGGGCTGCATCATGAAAAGATTAAGATCTAAAAAAGAGCTTGGGCTGCATCATGAAAAGATTAAGATCTAAAATAGAGCTTGGGCTGCATCATGAAAAGATTAAGATCTAAAAGATAGCTAATATTCCAGTGTAGTGATCTTCAAACATTTTCATTATCAACAAAAATAAACTAGTGCCTCAAAATAAATGTGAGCACTGTTATTTTAAAATAAATGTAGGTTTTTCTTTTTCGCTATGAGATCCTCTTTTAGTTCACAGTTTGAAATAAAATCATCATCATCAATGGAGATACAGCACAGCCCATGTAGGGCTCTTGCCTGCTCCACCACATTCCTCCATTTGGAAAGATCCATGCCTGGACCCCTAGCTGATATAAATCCTTGCTCACCTTATCATATGTCTCAGCCTTTGGTGTACTGGTGAGCCAACTGCCCCTTTGTTTCTGTCTATAGAACACTTTTGATACTTTATAATCTTTTACCCACTCGAGGTGTACTGTCCAGAGCAGCCTGCCTTTTTAAAATGCTGCGATATTGAATAGGTCTTTAAACAGTGATGTAACTCTTGATCTGTACAAATTCTCCAAACATCATCACCCAACAGTGGACTCTATATATTTCTGAGGACTTTCCTCTCCCCCGCATTGAGCTTTTGAAATTTAATATAATCCATTCAAATATTTAAATTATTTGTCCAGAGTCCTTAACCCCATTTAAAAAATACTTTTTTTATTATTATTCAGGACCTTGAAATGTCTGAAACCTTCATTGTTTACACACACAGACTTTATTTTATAAACCTTTATTATTATAATAAATCCAAGTTATCCACTCGTTTACTTCTGTTAAATAAAACTACTGGGCTAAGCTATCTTTGAATATACCTTGCATCAATAAACCTGGCATTGGCACTGTGCTTTGCTACAGCTTTACAGTACCGCCTCACATTATCCCTGAGTTCAAGTGGGGTCATATAGTCATGGTCATGCAAGACAGTGGCTGGGTCACCATGATCTCCACTTTTAGCCTCAAATGAAACTTTCTCAGACTGACGGAGATACCTTGTACCTTTGTGAATTCTAAAATCTGAAATTTATTTCAATGAATCTGAATAACATTGCATGCAACATTGCAATGAAATTAAGAAAAATTTTAAATACCTAAAAGAAATTTTTTTAAAAAGCTAAAAGACAGCAATTGTTCTTTTATTATATTTTTAAAATTCTAATGGCAACGAGCATATCCATTATCCATTAATAAGAAAAAAACTAATTTTAATCAGAATTAAAGTACTTGAAGCTAAGTTGATTTTAAAAAATTTAAATACTGACAAAATCGCATTTATTTCTTGTTACTAAAATATTCAACAAAAAAAAATTTATAACCTCAACTTATTGGGACCCATATATAACAGCTCAAATACCTCGTGGAGGAGTGTTGCTTGGCGAATGTATTTTTCTTCTGAGAATCATGGTGGGGCCTTTCTTTTGCTGCTCTGGTGAGACCAGTACAAGTCGAGGTTTAGGATCACAAACCATACAGAAAGGACCAACTATGATCATGCTTGTCTATAATAAAAGAAAGACATAATTTCCATTAGCGATACGATGATGAAGTAGTTATAAAAAATAAACTGATTTTAACATAAGAGACACAATAAAAATGCCTTCTGTCACTCCATTATGTTTATGTTTTAAACACAACCTTTCTCATTCATATTCCTCTATCATAAAAACATATTCATCAAGCTAATTGAATAATAATACTTTTTAAAGAAGGTCAGGATGCAAAAATAAAAATAAATAAAAATGCAACTACCACTCCTTTAAAAAACATATTTTAAGTTGGATATCTTTGATTGATGTCTAAGAAACTCAGTGCAAACTGGTAAGACAAGCTTTAGATTGGTGTGTTTGATAAAAATAATGAAAACAACCTTTCCATCCTGATCAAATGTTGACTGGGGTATGAAGAACTGGTCATTCTTTACATCTCCGATTACCGGGGGACATGATGGGATCAAACTGGCCAACTCATAGTCCTTCTCCAGCGAGGAGATTGATGGCAGTGTAATCGTAGTGGGCGGTGTCTTAATAATTGCCTGGGATGGGACTAAAAGACCACAAATCTATATGATTTATTTACAAATAGCATAATTTGAACATAACTTTTATTACACAATAAGCAACATTTTAGAAATTGTGATGTCCAACCTTGCTGTATGATATTTATCCATGCATTATTATGTTAACCTTGCCATATGATGTTTATCCTTGCCATTTTCAGAAGTAACATATTTCTTTAAATTTTGATAAGATGGCCTCAAAGGTTATATATATATATATATATATATATATAACAACAAAGAGCTTAAACAAAGATCCAACAGCACATTTTTCTTACATTTATCTTTTAGAAAATTCACTTACCAAACAGTTTGGATATATCATTACTCTGGTTTTTAGAACTAGCTATTTGGTTAGGATCTGCAGTTGTTGTGTCCAATTCCAATCTAAATAAATAATTTATTATATTAACAAGGTAAAAAAATAAATAGAGAAATCTTATTTAAAATTAAATCGAATTTATTAATGATCTAATGATTTGTACATGTTCAATAGCATGTACCTAATTATTGAAATTTCCATTCCAACCTATCTGGGCAGAAATTGGTCTACCCCAAATCTTCCACTTCAATACCAACATCAAGGACTGTTGTAAATAGCCAATTACAGCAGAAGACTAACAGGCATAAATATTGGCTGATAAAGCTGACAAACGCAGTGAAATATCTCACTTGCTAAAAGCCATTCTGGTGATTGGGTAGCACTAACCGCAAGTTAATCCAGATACATGTCTCTAAGAGACTATGTGATACAAACTAGGGCAGACTGCTCACCCGGATTAAATAGCCCAAATGTTTCCAGAGGACCCGCAAGAGCACAACATAATGCAGTAAGAAAATCAGTGTTTTACAAAAACAACTTAGAGGGTACAAAAATTTAATTTGATGAGATGAATGAAAAAAAGTAAAATATTAATTTGAGCCTGAAAAATTTTGTATCAAGGAAGCTATTGTATTTTGGTTTTTCTGAGTAAAGAACACAAACAAATAATGTAAAATATGTTGTGGTGATTAAAATTAAATAAAATTTTAAGGAGATAATAGAAAAAGACTTACGGCGTTTCCTTTTTTTTAACAGGAGTTGTACACACTTTTTGACCTTCAGTACCAGCATCAGTATGAGACCACAGTGTATTACTGTTATTAGGCTGGGCCGTTTTAACAGTATCACAGTTCAGCTCAATAATTTTCTGACCTCCGTCTTTGTCAACAATGCCTAGACGAAAATTTTCAAATTTTTGCTGGTTCTGAGAAAGATTCATGTCTGGCATTAAGCTTTTTGGAAATTTGACAGGAAATCCCCTGTTGGCGGCATTATTTTTCTTCTTCGATGTGGCCTTTCTTTTGCCTATGATAATTCTAGGCTTTCTCTCTTCACCAGGAACTTTCCTTGGTCTCCCTCTCATGCGTTTCTCTTTGACTATTTTTTCGGTGTGCGCACCAAGCTGTTTCACAATATTTGCTTTCACTTGTTCCACTTTTTGTGGTAAAAGATCCTGGAAGCTCTTCTCTACTTTCCACTGATCTCGCATGTAGTTGATCAGATACTCGTACTTCTTTTTCTCCCTTACTCTCAGCTTTTCTTTAAGTTTTTCAACACAATGGTCAATATCCTCCTTTTCTATTTCATCATCTTCAAGGAGCTTAACTTCCTTCATATTGGACTCAATTGTCTTTTCGCCGTCCTCCAGTTTTTTCATCAACTTATCGTATCGTCTCTTCTTACCATGTCTGTTTAAATCCACAGCTGCAAATAAGTCATTTGTTCCTTGGTCATCTTGTGATGCAACTCTACCGTCAACTGAAACCTTTTTGTTAAGATCACGAAAAATATATATTTGTTGGCTTGTCTCATCTGATTTTATTTCAGTTCCTGTTTGTTTGCGGCTTTTTATTCTTTCTATGGCAGATGGAACACTTATGTTTTCCTTAGCTTCGGAATTATGACAAGGTTCAGGCTTTGAGCATTTTTCACCATTAACATTTTCACTGACAACACAAGGGGCTTCACCTGATTCAACAGCAGTTTCTGGAAATTTATTATCTTCAATTTTGACGTCACTAACATCCTCAATTTCACTTTCTGAAATTTTTTTTTTTTTTGAACTTCTGGGTTTCTTGCTGAGCTTGGAAATACTTTTTAACTTTTTACGCACTTTTATGGGTTTTGTTTGGTAGGAGTCAGAGCTTTTGCTTTGATCTTTAACCTTTTTGGGAACAGAGCATTTTATAGGTTCTTCAGAGTCTTGACTGTCAGTTTGTTCACAACTAGTTATTGCCTCATCATTGACAGGCTTGAGCTCAAGGCAATCAAGAAAAAATTTGGAATCATTAACTTTTTCATGGTCCTCTTTTTTATCATTAATCTCAGGTTTCAAGATAGTGGCCTGGTTTGAATTTAAATCATTTGTCACCGAATGCTGTAATTTATTTTTCCTCTTCTTTGCCAAGCGAGCTGAAAATTTTCGCTCTTTGTTGGGTTCACTGCAATCAGCATCTTTTTCATTGATCATGATGCTTTGATAATGCTAAAAATAAAATGTTTATCATAGTATAATGAATATCATGTAAAACTTATGTTTTACATTCTGATCAGCAGTTTGTTCAGACTAGCTGCTCCTCACTTCTTAACTTTTGAATTTAACCTAGACATGGGGAAAAAAAAGTGTGGATTATGTACTATAAAAACATTTCATAAAACACATTTTTTTATTATCAGTTCAAGAAAATGTTTGCTTTCTAACACTAGAAGTATGGGAGATATCTTAATAACCATATATATAAATATAATATTATTACCCCTGTATATACATATATATATATTAAGACCTGTACGCTCTCTATAGAACAATGATAAATGGCAGTAATGGAGCCAATGCTAAGCTAAAGCAGACCTTGCAACCCTCGTTTAATGTATGAATACCAGATAATAAGATAAGAAAAGTAATAACTTTTCCCTTTTGAGCCTAATCAGGTTGCTAGTAAAATTTAAGCCCTTTTTAAGTCTCTGACTTCCAGTGCAAGTTTTGTAACATTACAAATAAAAAAAATGGTAGATTATAATCTACATGTGAACAAGAATAATAGTATGTGTTTTCAGTAAAAGTGGGCTTCGTACTTATAAAAGATTTAGATTTGTCATTTGATGCTAAATATTGTGCAGATGTCCATGTGGCCTTCATGTCTCGAGGAAAAATAGCCAGTTCGACTATACTATGTCAGTGTCATGCCTGAAAAATATCATGACATAATTTTGATTAGTGCTCAAAACAATTCAGATTTTAAGTTGACATCAAACTTAAAGATTGGTGATTTTTCTCGTTCAAATAATATATTATAATATTTGATAGCAAATAAAAGATATGCATTTTGCTTATGTCATGAAGAGCTAGATGCAAACACACAAAGGATGGGGTACACCTGGAACCAACTAGAAAGGAAAGCACAGGACAGAGATAAATGGAAAACACTTGTAGGATTCGTATGCCCATGTCGTGTTAAATAGCATAAGTAAGTTACACAATTTAGTTACTAAGAATAGACCCATTAATATTATTATTATAAACCAAATCTATAGGTATCTCTCAGTCTCACTGATTGTTTTCTTTTTACTCTGTCGTTTTAAATATAGCATGTGATTTACATTAAGAAATTTTCAAATGGTTTTTATAATAAATAATTTTAAATTGCATAGCCAATAATTGTATGAGCTAAACTCATGGCACCTTTTTCTTTTTTTGTAGGGGAGTGGGGGGCGTGGGGGTGTGAGCATTTGTGTCACTTAGTCTTGGTTAAATAATCCCTTGCCTTATGCTTTTCTTTTGACGTCAGGTCATAACTTGAGGACTTGAGTTGAGGAGCCTACATTATTTTTTACAAATCTATTTTGGATAACTAAAACATTTTTAATTCCATGATTACTTGATGTCTTAGGTAGGACTTTTCATTCCTAGTCTTTCTATTCTTAGAGCTAAAGACTAGAGAAAGGCTAAGGCCAAGATATTTAGCTTCTAGCCTGACCCTAGTGAGGCTTCTTCTACAAAAAAAACAGCGCCACTCAGCCTGGCCCGTTACCAAACAGTGACTAGGACTAGATTAGTGACCAGGCTTTTAAGAAATATATATATATATAACTTCAAGGATCCCAAAGATTGAAAGATGACAATGAGGGAGTTTGGCTTGGACGATTGATAAAAACTTTTGAAAAGCATATTTAAATAAATGCTATACTGGTAGTCTACGCCGCCAGTGTTGTCACTCAGTGTATCATAATCATTCATTCATTAAAAAAAAAGTTAGACCTAATACTAATTCAAAGATCTTGCAGTGGCTGCTAGATGCACAGTCAAAATAAAGTAAAACTAACACTAACAAAGTTTGACATTAATGAATGATATCTTAGTCTTAGACACCTACTTTGATGAATTTGTTACAAAGAATTCAAAAATCAATTAAGAATGAAAATTATATTTAAAAATTAAAAAATAATAATAATTAAGCTAGAATTTAAAAAAAAAATTAATAAAGTTCAGTTAGAATATGTCTATACTCGTTATTTTTTAACTTAATATTCAATTAAAGTCAAACTCTGCATGCCTTTCAGTAAAGATCTATACGTCTGCTTAAACTATAACAGTAAAGGGCTTTCATTGAGAACTTGATGTTTACAATCGAAACTTGTCGTTGATTACGCAAATACACCTTTTTCAGTATACTAACCGTCAAGCCTCGATTTCAATTTTAGAGAAATCCCACAGACTGTTCCGTAATTTTATATAACACAAAGGGCGCTAAATATTATCTATACGTTAAATCTTAATGGTGGGGTTGAGGTATCTCTAATAGCAAAATTAAAGTTTAAACCAATTGTTTGTATCATATAGTTTATTTAAAGTTTACTCCTGTAGACAACGACTGAATTATTTTATATCTGTTTATTTTGTAATGCGGGTCTAAATGCCAGGGAATATAGCATCATACGTCCAAATAATTTAATATTTCTGTGTAATACTAAAATATTTTTTACTAGCCATGTGTAATGAATAGTGACTAGGCTATATTGTTTCTACCTTCTCCCAGGGGGAGATTACAAAGTAATCCCACCCCTTTTTTTTCATCTTGGGAGACAGACGTATGAACGTGAGTTTTTGGCTTCGGGTTAGTCAAGTCAACCCTAATAGTCGGTCGCGCCATGTAGAGGCAAAACTCTTGCGGGGACCGCCGAGGCGGCCCTTTTACCGGACGAAGTGGTACAGGCAATGGGCAGACAACACGACCGCCAGAGGAGTCTTTTCAAACGTGCCCACTCCTAGCAAAAAAGACCCATGGTGGGGGTTAGGCCGCAGACAGCAGAGCTTAGTGACGCAGATGCGCACCGAGCACTGCCCCTTGGTACTTCAGATTTTTCGTGGGGGGGGGGG